CAAGACAGGCACAGGTAGAATGGAAAACTGGGGCTCTCATTGCAGGTCACCAGAAAGTGACAATAATGATTTTTAGAATCTCTCTTTCCTAAGCTGCTGCAATAACAACTAAGAAAGGTGGCCTTGCCATTTTAGGAGGGCCATTTGTTTATTTTTTGCCACCTTGGCTGCATAATATTTTATTTTGTTCTCCCACCTCAAGCAACACATTGTTTCTAGATGCCCATTGCTTGGGGGTTCACAAATGAGATCTCAATCACATTTAATCTGGCAAGAGCTATTCTCTTCAGAACTGGAGAGAGGCTGAGGCTTACTCTGACCTCACACAGACCTCAGACATGGTTTGGAAAGGAGCAAGTCATCTTGCTGCTTTCGGGACTACAAGAGCATTTCAGGGCGAGTTGTAGCTTCCTTCTGCCTTGGAAGAAGGGCAAAGGAGTTCCTTAACTTCACACTGAACTTTGGAGAGAGTCAAAAATTGCTTTCCATGCCATTACAACAAGGATAACATTTGCCCAACCAGGAGCAGGCAAAAAGGTTTGTCCAAAGAAGCCTTGGACACATCTTGAATACATCCAAAGCTCACTGGGATGCACAGGCAAGGTCTCCCCTTCCCCGGGAAAGCAGCTGACAGAGCTAACATCCATTTTGGCTACCCAGGCCTAGCAACACTTGCCAAACCCCTCTTTTGCCAACTCCTTATCTTCTAGTTAAATGTTTCAAGGAGTCTGCAATGAGAAAATCAGTAATAGCAGATCCATTGCTGAACACCTTTGAGATTTTTCTTTCTCTTTGCAAAAAGGTCACTTTGCAAAATGTTCCACAAATCATCCACCATTTTGGCATGAAGAAAGGTCTAGGGCCCTCACTCGAGAGGATGCCAATAGTTGCCAAGCAGCCAATGTAGTCACTCCCACTTCTATTGCCAGTATGAAAAAAACTTATGGGAAAAGAAGTTACTTATTATTGGTGCTGCTGCTCATGGCTGGTCTCATAACCAAGAATTGTGAGATAATTGTTCCTTCTACTAAGAAAATTCACTGAAATGGCTCCCCTAGTCTCTTTACCAACAGAGTGGAGAATTTTGGGAGTCACTTTGTGAGCACAGCTCTCCATGGAAGACACAGGCCAGCCAATGAAAGAGAATCACTTGCTAAGGGCAATCAACTGTCAGTACTGGGCACCCACAAGGATCAACAGGCCAAGGAGGGAGATTCTTTAGATCATATTAAGCAACTTTCTATTACGTTGACCAGTAAAAGAAATACATATCTGCTTGTATGCATGTTGGTATCTCCCTTGCTAGGATATAACCATTAAAACATTTTATTTAAGCAATCTGAGCAAACTAGAAGGCTCTTTTAACTAAAGCAATATCCAGGTAGGCTTCCTAGGAAAGCCGTTCTGCGATTTCAGAAGCAGAAGGACCAATATCTTGTGAGAGCATGAGAAGACCCAACACCTCTTACTAGATTCCTCATGACTCATCAGTTGGAATGAAAAGCTAGAATAAACTGAACCCAGAAATAAGGTGGCATCCAGGTCATCAGTGGCAGCTCCCCTCAAGTGCAACCCTTATAACAACTAGCAAAATGCAGGGCTATTGACTGTGGGTAGTATGTGACCCTGCAGGTTGCAAGGACCCCATTCTGCACATGTCCTCTGCCCTCTCAATGAGAATGGAGCTCAGATGCACAGAACTCTGCTCTTTCTTCACATACCCTAACACAGGACTGGGGCAATTCATCCTTGAATTTGGCCCACCTTGTCTATGAGAATGGAGCCCACATTCACAGATGAATGTCCCCAGTGCTGTTTTGCTTCTCCTGCAGAAGTGAACTGTAGCCATGGCTTAACTAGATGGAAATAGAAGAGTACATTTGTGGGCCAGAATAAAGGAGGGACTAACTACATCATCCCATGCCTTATAATAATCTGAATCTCTCAAAATGTTAGGAACTCGCTTATTTTATAGATATGTATATAGCCACACAAGCAATACTTCCAATGCTCCAGAGCAATGATGTATTACCTAAGGCAGAGATCCAAAATGGATAAAGCTCTTTGGTAAGAAGTGCATCATTTATTTCGGACAGAAAGCTTTTCAGTGTGTCGGTAACATCTTCCAGCTGATGTGTTCCAGCCCTCAGCTTAACACTTCTTGCATCCTTTTTGAAGCTCTCTAGAAGTTTGCTCACATGAGAAGGATTCCCACCATTGAGGTAGATGTTTTTGCTACCTAAGCCTGAAACAAAGGAACATGTAACCACTCTAACAATATTTATAGTTGAAATGTCCAAATACTGAAACCTAAAAACAGCAAAGGGGGGGGGGAGGAATGGGACGCACCAAATCCAGTTTTGAAGCAATACAAAGCCTTATTTTGTGGCATTTAATGATTTAACAATGTTTCAGAGACATAGCTACAGATGGCAATCTAAAAGGAGCCTTTAATGCATATATAACTACAGAAGCTGTCCCAGCTTTCCCTGGGGATTAGAGGAAACTTTCAACATTTTTAACTTCCAGATTACTCTGTGCATATCAAATTGTGTCCCACAAAACCCAGTAGGGGAGCTGCTTCCCCATGAGTAGCTCCTATGCAACTGGGAGCACATGGAAATGAGCCAGCCATGTGGCTGAGAGCCAGTCAAATGAGTCTTTTTCACACACATCTTTTCTTCCATGAAGTTGGAACATTTCAGTGCTCTCACAGTCATACAAGACTACTCCACTGCTCATGAGATAACGGCTAGCAGAAAGTGTCACAGAGACCAACATGGAAGAGGGTGCAAATGCAATTCCTGCAGGGCATGTGCAGTACCTGTTAATGTCATTTTCTCAGGCTCCAGGACTCAATAGTACCCCAATGAGAACCCAGAGTCTGATAAACCACTAGTTGTCCCTCTTCAGGAGCTCTTGACACCCCCTTAGACATCTTCCAGACATAGCCCTCCCTTCAATCACTTTATCTGTGGATCGGTCTCCCAGAATTTCTCCTATCCACCAGGCATACAGAAGCATAATGGGTCCTTTAAGGGACTAAAGAAAGAGCTTCTGAACATTTTGGGCCTGCCAGCCTTAAGGCATTAACTGCCTGCAATCAGTTGCTGAAAAAAGTGTTCTTGGCCTGCCTGTAATTTACTGGTCATGAACCTCTTTAACAGATTTGCCCTGGCATGGAACCATCAACAAGCACACAAGCTGCAAGTTCCGCCAAACCAGAACAGGCAGGCCCCCCTGTTGCCTCCAAGACTGACACTACCACACATCCAAGACTTTCCCCCAAGAGTCTACCTGGTTTGAGTTGCATGCATGCAACAGGCGTTCCAGGGGACTCTGGGTTACACAAAGGCTAACCTGTGTTCTCCAAGGAGATGCTTAGTCATGCAGGAGTGCTTGATAGCCCCTACTGGGTCCGCAGCTTAGGAGTACTCCTTGACCCAGAGCTGTCACTGGAGTTCCAGGTGGCGGAGGTGGCAAGGCGTGCTTTCCTACAAGTTTGACTGATTCATCAGCTGCGTCCTTACCTGGATGAGCACTGCCTAGCAACAGTGATACATGCTCTGGTAACTTCCTGCTTGAATTACTGCAACATGCTCTATGTGGGGCTGCCCTTGAAAATGGTCCAGATACTACAACTGGTACAGAATAGAGCTGCCAGGCTGCTGATGGGGACCGGCCGTTACTCTCACATAACGCCGGTCCTCTACCAGTTCCAATGGCTTCCAGTTGAAGTCTGGGCCCAATTCAAGGTGCTGGTTTTGACCTATAAAGCCCTAAACTGCTTGGTTTCAGGATACCTGAAGGAATATCTCCTTCCTTATATGCCCTTACACCCCTTAAGATCTATGGGAGAAGCCCTACTCCGGAACCCTCTCTAAGAGAGGTTAAAAGGTCATCAACTCGAAGTAGGGCACCCAGACTCTGGAATGTACTCTGCTGTGGCACCCAGACTCTGGAATGTACTCCCCAGAGAAGTACGCCTGGTGCCAAGTTTATACTCACTGGCGTAAGGCCAAAACCTTTTTATTTAAACAGTATTTTAAACTTTAATAGTATTTAAGTTTAGTCACTCTGTTTTGTGATTTATTGTTTTGTTCTGTTTTATTATTTATCAAAATTGTTGTTTTAATGTCTTTTTAAATATTGTAAGCCGTCCTGAGATCTTGTATAATAGGACGGCATACAAAAGCTTTTAATAAATAAATAAAATAATACTGATCATCCAGTTAAAGAATGTATGAAAGACTTAAAGGAACTCATGTTTAATTCAAGGAACCTCAGCCTTCCTTGAAACACCATTGGAAAACCATGCTCTTACGGGCCATTGTCTTCATACCATGGGTGAAATTTTAAAAATCAGACAGAAGACAAGAGACACTGAATTTTTGCTACAGAGATTCATCCGGCAATGACTCCTATCCTCATGCCTCTCTTATAATTCCAAAAAGCCCATTTTCATTTTCAACCCTGTTTTCATTTCCTTATACTGTTAGGCTTCTCCCCACCCACCATCTTTCTCTTCCAATACAGACACACACACGCTGCCATGCAAGCAACCTAATATAACAGTGAAAACCTCTGACAAAATGCGGTCTTTACAGATCGCAGCTCAAGCCCAAATAATGTAATCTGAAATAGATGCTTCTTCAGTACTCTATCCGGATGCATCTTCAATTTTCAGGAATTTGAACAAATGCTCTGCTCTACTTACCATACTGCGTAACAAATGCAATACAGCTGTTCACTATAATCGGGACGTCGTTTTTGCTGAGCTGCTGATCTTCTAGCACGTTGCCATCTGTACCTGCTGCTTTTTCAATTGCACTGTGCCAGACTGTGAAATCCAACTTGGTGTGGCCGTGGATATACAAGGTTCTGGGGGTGGGGGGGAAAAGTTTGAGGAAAATATATTGGAAAAAGAACTAAAAGAGAGCAAGTGAGGAAAGCAGTTACTTGCTTTAATGAAAATGGTAGACCATTTCATACAAATGAATGCATGCAAAACCAACTCATAAGCTCAGGGTGAAAACAGACTCTGCACTTTTAGAGCAGTGCCGAAGCACCCTTGGTGCTTTTAAGATGAGCCTAAATATTTATCTTCAGAATTCAAACTAGAGGAGGTAGAAATCTATATGCCTGAAACAGAAGCCATACAAGGATATAATTGGCCAGTTCCTTCTAATGAAGAAATCTCTCCTAACCACAGACATACAATACTGGAGCAGCAAGTAGATTACTGGGTGATCTGAAGTAGTTCAGCAAAGATTTCTAACTCCAAATGCTTTATAATGAAAAGTGAGCAAAATATTTCTTAAATAAAGAAGGAGACAAAATGATACTCCCCTTTCCACAAATGTAACTACTGATATCAGGACAGATGAGGGGTAAAGGGGAACAAGGAATGGATATGGAGGATTTTAGCTCTGGTATTCAAATAAATTCCAGGGCTCAAAACTCTTCAATTAATGTAAGCATTTGTCATTTATGCTAGGCTCTGGTTACTGAATCTTGTGATTCTAGTGAAAACAAAATAAACCTTGCAAAATTTATATAACCTCATCCCTGTTCTGGAGTAGCTTTGCACTCTCTGCAAGAGTGCAAGACAAACATACGCAGACTTCTGCAGAATGCACATTTCTCTCACATTTAACATTAGGATTGGTCTCAGCAAATCAGCATGGTATAATGATTGCAGAGCTAGAGACTGAGACCTGGGTTCAAATCACTGCTCAGCCGCAAAGCTTACCGCAGGAGCCAGTCTCTCTCAGCCTACCATCCCTCCTAGGGTACTGTGAAGTTAAAAGGGGAAGAAAAGCCGTGTACAGTACTGTGAGTTATTTGGGGTAATGGTAGGTTATAAATAAATACAAAAACAAAGAGAAAGATGGTCCATACTGCAACCAGCCTATCCGTATTTGTAAAATATTTTACAAGGGAAGGTAATCTTATTTTCCTCACTATTTCTCAATGGAATAAGCTATATCCATTAGTTAAAATCCACTACATTGAAAGAACAACTGATTGAAAAGCCGCTAGACATTGCCTGTTGGGGCCACAGGTCAGAAACAGCTCAGAAAAGGGGTATTCCAGGAGCCAGAAAGAGAGGAGAATGCTGTATCATGATGATGGAGCCACCTTCCTTCCCCCTCTGATTTACCTCAGCCAGATACCAAAAGTAGCCATCTAGCTGAAAAGCAGAGTGGAAGATGCAGGGAGAAAGTGATCACCTCTGCTTGGAACTGGACTAGAAGTTCATGGGAACAGGAAGGTGGGATGTGATGTTTTGTTTTTGTCTTCACTTGCTTCCTGGGGATGTTTTTTGTTTTGTTTTGTTTTGTTTTTCACTTGCTTCCTGTGAACACATTATTCTGTGATGGTTTCACTTTTGCCTTCCTTTACTTTGCCTTGTCTTCGTTGCTGCAAAAAAGATGCCTGAAATGGTATAAAGCCCTCTGTTTCATGTCAAGCTATGCTGCAACAAAGCATCTCTTCTCCATCAGTCAAATGCAGTCAATTGGAAGGTCTCAGGTCTTTCGCTCAGCTGTCTAAGCTCAGCTGAGGTACCCTTTAGCTGGACCAGAAGGCATATGGTCATAGTAATGCACCCAAGATTCAACTTGGGTGAGCAGGCCAAATTTATTTCCCAGAAAAGCCTAGGCTAAAAGGAGATATTATCTTAAATGTGCTAAACCGTTAACGGTATTTTGTTTGTTTCAAGCCTAATCACCTCTACCAGATGCCTTCCCTTGGAAGTAACCATACAAAAAATCCAGAAAGAAGTATAAAAAGTAAATTTAAATTTAAGCTCTGAAAACTCATGCCTCTGCTAAAATCACAAAGAAACTTGTGGCATCTTTTGGTAAACATTCCACTTGGAGGTGGAAGCCACATTTGTCCTTCATTATAAATTGATTCTCATATAATTTGCATAATCCTTCAGAGCCAGGATACCTCCTGAAATTTTACTTCATCCCTTAATAGCACCTTTTTTCCCCATGATGTGGCACTGGGCACAAATTGTAAGCACAATAACCACAATCCATTTGAAGTCAGATGATTTCATGAGATCACAATAGCCAAGATTGCAACAAAAGCAATTAAGGAAGCAGCGAAGCATGAAAACACGTGGAACTGAACTTTTAAAAATTAAAAATAACTAGTGGGTTTTCTGTGGAAGACCACCAGTTGTGGGCAGGAAATGGCACTGAGAAGAGATTTGTACCTGGGTGTGTGGAGCTCTTTAATATGAACAATGTTAGTTACTGAGAAAGACTTTGTGTTTAGTTTATTTTCACTCTGATTCCAGCATAGCAATAACCACCCAAATGATTCCTCAAGCTGCTATGCGTCCTGGAACCAAAAACAGTGGCAGGTCTCAAAGGCTGGACTGCTACATACTCTCTCTAACTTCTGCCCCAACAAACCATTTTTATGAAGTCTGCTTTCAGACACTTTTTTCAATTAAATAAAATCTTAATTTATTTCTGTATGCTAACCAGCTAAGGTACACTTTTTCTTCAAAATAAAAGGTGAGTTTGTTTCCTGTTTGTGAACCACTTCGTCATAAATGATACCCCAATTGGCAAACAGAATCCCCAAGACTGCCCCAGTTGAGTGACCTCAGTGACCAGGGAAGCTGTTAAGAGAGGAAACATGTTCTCAGATATCTAGATGTATGTTTTCCTGGATGTGCATGATTTGGATGAAAAAGCACCAAATATTTGACCTACAGACTCCAATGCCATTCCTTCAGGAGCATCAGACACCGTAGCTCTGAGAGCATTGGTAAGAAAAATTGCTAATCTGTCTTGCTACACTTCAAATACAAGTCAAGGGAAAGGTTTGTAGAGGGAGTATATTCAGACTCCTGAGGCAATGAATGAAGGCAGATCCCCTCCCCGCTTTCTTTTGGGCAAACATTTCCTGTTAATCAGTTCAAAATGTTACCAAGTGTTGAGATAAGTCTTTTGGTGGCTTCCTAATATATTGCTTGCCAACTGTTTGCAGTGTGAATTTTGTTTGTCCGAGAGGCTGAAAAAGGGGGCAATTTATAATATGGCTTAACAAAGAGCTGAACAGAAGCCTTCTCAGATTCTCAGAAAGCAAACATACAAAGGAAAGAGTAGACCAGAAGAATGGTGATGCCTGGATGGAAAACTGAAGCCTATATACAGGAAACGTAGCAGCAGTGTCCTTTTTCAGGTCAGATTATCTGTAGTATTACAAGAGAATTAGAAGACCCATGGAAAGGTTTTAATCATTTTATTTACATTTCTATCTCACCCTTCCAACAAGGAAGAGAACCTCATGGCCACTCCCATGCCCACCATACTGACAATTTTATCCTCACACAAAAACTGTGGTGTAGGTTAGGCTGAAATAAAACCACCAAGTGAGCTTTCTTGGCTACATGTGAATTCAAACCCCTGCCTTTTCCAGTCTTAGCCCAGCATTCTAAATCAACTACAACATGCTAACTCTCATGATGTTATTTTATGATTATGAAGAAACTTTATTTCAGAGTCAACTAAAACATTAAAAAGCCAATATACATTTCATGAACGACCTAGACTAGTGAATGATTCTTTAGTCTTTCTAAAGTAAATAGAAAGCCTTTGTATATGCATAACAGCAGCAGTGATATGGTGGCTTCCATTTTGCTAGACAAAGAGAGAGACGGGGCAAATTTGGAAGTTCAGGTACTCACTATGTATCAACAGACACGCCCACTAGGAGGGTCTCAAATGCTGATCTATACCAATGAATTAGGCTTAGCAAATAAGGCCTGAACTGATCCGAATAGGACCTCTATTTCTAAGCCTTTTGGCTGTGCAAGAGAAGGACAAAGAAATTACGTGGTAGCAAACAAGTAGCTGCCTTGAGTTCTTCTAAGGAAAAAGGTGGACTATAAGTCTAATGAATAAATAAATCAGTATATAAGGAGTTAGCCCGGGCTTATCCATGCGTTGTTCTGTCCTGTGAAAGCCACTCTGCACAAGCAATGGGGTCTTTTACCTAAATTGACTAGTTGGAAGAAAGATTTATGGTGTGGAGGGAAGTGAAGACGGGGGAATAGAGTAGCAGAGAAAGGAAGGGACGTAGCAGAGAAAGAAAGTTGATCTACCAGCAGATCTGGCCCTATCCACTCCTTATATGAGCCCCTGAATTTTTTTGCCAGAGGAATGTGGCCCCTGTTATTAAATGGGTCCCCCATCCCTGCTTTAAAAGGGGAAGACAAATCTTCTGCCTGAGAGGCAAGAGATCCCAACTTCAGGCTCTGGTTTCTTCAGCTGAAAGCTGCTTGGGAAGAGCTGGGAATGACCCTTGCTGGAGACTTGGGAGAATGTACATATTTTGCCCAGTGTCACATGGTGCTATGGGATTCAAGGTCTGAAAAACGGCACCACCATTGATTCAGGGGCAGTAGGTCATGCTCGTTAGATCAGCAACCTGACCGAATACACATCAGCCTGACATACTAAACAAAAGAAAGACACGTTCATGTTTTGGAACATTTATTTTGTTCAATTGTATCTTTCAGTCAATATTTACACAGTATGTGCTATGCATCCCCCTTCTTTGTGCTCTATCACATTTATACAGCTGCCTCTAGCAAACAGCCTGAACAACCACCAAGGTAAGCAGAAACTCCCTCCCACACTGTCTGCTGATTCCCTGCCACCCATTCATTGTGAAACTTTAGCTTGCTAAGTGCTTGGGGGCTGGGCCTTCCTGAACCGCAAAACCCAAATATGTATCCATGCAAACTGCATGTGCAAACTCTGCCATTTATTTCATGGGTGGGGGGGAGCTGTACATGCCCATTCCTTTGAAGGCACATGCAGCAGCTCCTTCTCCATGAAAGAATTCTACATAAGCATCAGAGTAACTGTCAGTACAATTTTGAATAGCACAAAGGAGATTCAAGCCAAGGTACTCTGAAGTCCCATTCACCTTTGCATCATGTAAATGACAATGGCCCTGCCCTCTGACATGTGTACAAAGCATGTGAAAAAACACACCAACACTCCAGCAGCAAAAGCATTTGGGAAGATCAAGATCATGGGTACCAGTTGGACGAAGAATGGACAACTGCAGGCATGTATGTGTGCCCTTTCATTCAATGCATGTCCAGTTAGGAAGCAGAGCTGGACAGGTACAGACTCACCCAGCTCCATGCAGTATTACCCGTGTGATGCACAGAACACGAGGTCAGCCTCACCTATGACAGTATCACAGAGCCAGTTTCTACTTCTACACAACCTTGACAGTAACATGTCCTTCTCACCCAAGTTTTTGCAAACACAAGAGTCTGAAGAAATGTTTCAACTGCAGGGAATAGCAATCTGGAAGATGATGTTGGACGTGTGCATGTTTATATCTATCCTTCAAATCAATATCCTAATCTGAAAATTCTTTGAAAATGCAGGCATACCCATCTTTCTCATGGGCAGAACCATGAGTATTGATTTTCTAAGCAATGAAAAATAGAATAGTCACCCCTGCTAGGGCCACCCGTAATAATTTCTTACCTTCCTTTTTCAACCAGAAGCAGGACATCTATTTTTTCTCCATTTTGGATTATGCTGCTTACTGCTGAAAAATGTTAAAAGAAAAAAAAACACATTTATAATTGCCTAAGTGAAGTCACACAACTTTTAAGAACTGCAATTATCTATTAAAAGTTATACTGCAACTTTGTATCAGCTTCTGAATCTAGTAACCTGCTTTAATAATCATTATTCCTTGGCTATGGATTAAAATGAAGTCAGTAACTAGCAAGATTAAAGAGGTAGCCCCCTCTAAGAGCAATAATAAAGAAAGTTAAGGCAATGGATAGGTTTCCGATTAAGGAAGTTCAGGCAAAGTGACCAGAAATAATTTGGCTCTTGGGTTATAAATAAATTCACCATAAATAACCCAGACTCCCCTGCTTGTTATAAACTAGTAAGTTTGCTCAAGAATGCAGGGTAGACATGTAGTTTCGTGAAATCACCAATGGAAATGGGTACTGGGAGAAGTGACAGAGTTCTGTATTTTCCCCCAGCATAACTGACCATTATATAATTATATTTCTACTCCAATTCTTCTCTTCACTGGAGAAAAACAAAAAACTGATCCAGGTAGGAAGTTGTTTTTAAGCAGTCTACTTGAAAGACAGAAATAGTTTAAAAGTTCCCGAACATATCTCTGACCTGGTACCTGAATGCCCTATAGCAATTTCCCCCAATGTAGGCCCCTCCAGATCTGCTGGTCATACTGGCTGGGAACTATGAGAGTGGCAATCCACACATTGCAACTATGCCCATGAGCTACCTTCAGTAGTGAAGTTAATGCCTGCATTGCTCAGGTTCAGCCTCCCAAGCACCACTGGAAAGCCACCTATCCAGATAGTACTTCGTACTTCCTCCTTTATATTGGTCCGCAGTGGTGGCTTTTAACTAGCTGGGGTGGCTGTTATTTCCATTCAGGCTTCATCCTGATTTCCAGGGCTAGATTTAGCACTCCAGAGAGTGGGAGAGGGACAGTAAAGAATAGGGGGAGGATAATCAATCAGTCAGTCAGTCACCTGGGTGCTATATTCTGTTCTCACTGCTTATGTCAAAGATCTATTCCTTCTAAGAGGTGGGTTTTTAAGGATGGGGGTCAGGAGCTTGGCAAACAGCAGACTCCACCAAATTTCAGTACCAGCTATGCAGCTATGCTGGTTGTTTATCAGTTGGGATCCTTTGCTGGTCCTGTGCTGGGTATCCACTTTTATATACATTTGTCAGTCTACCATTTGCTAACAGACTTTCTGTATGGATCTTGATCTTATTGTAACTACCCATCTGGTCACTTAAACAAGAGATCTAGCTGAACAATGGTCCCACACAAACATCCAGGCACATTCTTGTCTGTGGACCATGCTCCTAGCATCCCAACCCTTGTGCATCTATCTCACCCATCTTTTTGCCTCAGTACTTCCCAGGTGGTTACAAGAAAAAATGCAGGGCATATACCCAACACTTCCACAAGGTTCTTATATAAACAGATAACCTTCTAAATGTCATGTTTGCACCAGGAGCAAACCAAACAAGTAATTTTCTGTTCATACGCAAACTATATTAAGATGCCTCATAAGTCAAGGGGACTGGTATTTTGATTGCAATCCTTTTCATTTGCCCACACTGAAAAATTAACATTAAAATCTGATTTCCTATGGATAAAATATATTACTCTTGTGGAAATGATTTCTCTTTGCTTATGATTCAACAACAAACAATGTCTCAGATCATACACATGCGCACACATGTGTGGGTGTGTGTTTGGCCTATTTCAGCTTTTCCTGCATCAGTGCTGGAAATACTCTGCCATAGTTCAGTCCCAAGATACTGAGATGTATGGATTAGAATGGGCAAGCAATGTGCTCCTGTTCCATATGGATGTCTCTGTACATCCATACAAACTAATGTCAAGTGAGAGGAAACAATTCCATTGGGCTTGCTCATGGCATGCACGCAAGCTATTCAGCTTATAGTGCTCAGCACCCAAGTCAAAGTGCACAGCACCCAAGGCCATCAGGCTATTTTGCCACCCGAGGCAGAGAATTCTACAAGAGCCTCTCCCTGGAGGTAAAAATGCAAGGCTAATAACCACTGTAACCCCAAAAAGCAGCTTCCTAAAGTCATTGTCTCATTCTGCCCTCCTTAGCAGGGATCCTTTATTTATGAATTACAGATTTCAAGGAAGTCTTTTATTCAGTGAAACACACACATACCCCAAACTCCCACCACTTATTTCTACCTCACCCTTCTAAGAACATAAAGATTTTTGGGGTTTTATAAAACAGCACTAGCACATGCTCATTTCAAAGTCTTACTTAATTCCTGGAGCCTCCTTAAATGCATCGAATCCTCTTGGTAGTTTTCCAGTTCTAAGCAAAAATACAGGCTTGACTTCTCTATAGCAAACCAGCCTTTTTTCCAGTTATCCAGATTGTGACAGTCTTTATAGTACAGCTGGCCAATCACATCATAGTCCCTCTCCAGAAGACATTTGGCCATTATGGGGACAAAGAGCTATTCCAAACAAACAAACAAACAAACAAAAAACATAAGTATACTTAAAATCAATACTTAAAGGAAAATCTTAAACACTAAACAGTAGAAGGCTTACTGAGTTTCACTGTGCAAAATTCAGATTGGTTCTGCTGCTCAAGTATTGATCTATTTATTTAAAACATTTGAACATTGCCTGTCCATCAGACACAGAACATGTCCAAGTTCCTTAGAATCAACATTAACACACTGTGGAATCAAAAACTAGAAGCAACAAGAAAAAAGCAGGTTGTGGAACCTTACTGATGATACCACAGCCAAATCTGGATAACCTCAATGAGCAGATAATGTTGAAATTAAATAGTACAGGACATAAATCTTGTGGGACAGAGTGCTTTAAACAACATCCAGAGGGGAACAGTAGTTCTCTGGCACCAACTTCTAGAACATGATTTGTAGAAGGGATTGCAACCAGCACAAATGGTGCCCCCATTGCCTTCACAGAAGAATACCTTAGTCAATAGTACTAACCAAGAAGTCCAGCAGAACCAACAGGGGTCCCCAAGCTCACCAGGTCCATCTCAGTCCCAAAGCAAGAAAAGGGACATATCCAGATAATCTGGTGAAATATCTGGAGATTTCACTTCAGATCCCAAAGCTGAGACAGATGGAAACACTGGACAAAGGATTGGGGGCCCATGACATGGGCTTTTCTAGTATTCAAAATGTCAGGAGTTTTACATGCAGCTTTATGCCTCACACAAGAAATAACAGTCCTGCTTCGAATGGAAGACTACAATTTTGATTCAAGCAGCAGAGAAACATCTACTGGGGCTATTGCTTCTAATGCATTGTACTTAGTGCTTTTAAATACAAAATGAGATTCCCAAAATAAAATCTTTTTTTAAAGCCTGAATTTTGATTTATATTTCACTGTATGGTTGCTTTAGCAGAAATTGCAACAACAGGTGTTTTCCATTAAGAAGCAGAGAGACATTTCCACTTTCTTAAGATCCAAATTCCTCTGCATTACAGCCTTACTTTCTCCCAAGATCCTAAGAGAAGAGTGACACTTTACATTTAATGCAAAGGCTCTTGGTTTAACTTGAACAAGTAATTATCAACATTACCTTGGCAATTGCCTGAGTCCATTTTCTTTGAGTATATGCAGTTTCAGCACCAAACAGAAACACACGTTCTGACAGTAAGTAGATTTCAAAGGTAAATATAGCTCTAAAATCACCAAGGACAAGAGGAATCAACTTTATTTAGTATAAGCTTTATAAAAGTAAAATGATGAACAGTGTATTCTCCCCCAGAATCCCTGCATTTCATTCCTATTTTGACTAGTCTTAATGGGAGGAGGGGGGAAAGCCAGTTATTAAGAGTTACTCCAACTAAAATGTTTCATCATTTATTTCTCTTCAAACATTATGGAAGTAAATAGGCATTTGAAGGTCTAGTCAGGAGGAACTGAAGGTAGGAAAAATCAACCATATGGGAACAGGCAGTTTAAATAAACATGGCTAGAAAAAGGTGTGAGTGGAAAGGAAAGGCAAAGTGTTGTTTGATCAAATTGCCACTCATATCCATTTGAAGGAAGAGCTGTGTCTCCTGTAGCTTAAGAGACCAAGAAAAATTCAACTATGGCCTTATCATGAATACAAAAAAAGGTGTCTTCAGCCCATGCACCAAAAGTGTACATCCACAGTGCTGACATTTACTGAAGCATGTGCACTGTAGGATATATATTCAAAGAATGAATGCAGCATGAGCTTGGAGACTGTAACCACTTCTTATCAACTGAAGAGGAAACATTTTAGGTGAGACACAGAATCAGCCACTTCCTTAAATCATACCAAAATCCTCTCTCGGTCCTGCTGAGTGAGCAGAGGAACCTCGTTTTTTACTGCCATGTCAAGCCCCCACACAAAACACCTTGTGGATCCTGTTGACCTTGTCTGTCATCCTGAACAATCAGCCAAGTGACTGCAAAGGCCCTTTCCCCTGTCAGTGCTCTCTACTGCACAGGCTGCGTATGCTTGAGACATTCAAGGTGAAACTAGGCAGCTATCTGAGTGGAGTGGTGTAAATTGGTGTCCTGCAACAGCAGGAGGTTGGACCTGATGGCCTTCTTGGCCCCTTCCAACTCTGCTATTCTATGATTCTATTCTATGATTCTACCCAGAAGAAAGGGATACTTTTCCAGATAGAAAACATCCAGGTGCTATCTCACTTTCTCCTCTAGCCTTGGACCCAAAGTATCTATGCATTGCTTTGAAGAAGTAGATAGCCACTAAAATAAGTGCAGGGGCTTTAATCCAGACTGAGACTTGGGCACAGGGAGTCTTCAACACTTTGCCCCCACCCCCCATTGGTCCAGTTCAGAGCAGAAGCCTCTCACCTGATGTTTCCTTTGCTAAAAATGAATCTATTAAAACATGGAGCATGTTCAGACAAAGAATGATACGGGCATGGTGCGGGGGGGGGGTGGTTCTACAAGTTGGGAACACTTGTAGTGAGGACCCTGGATTAGAGCCTCCCTACCCCCATTTTAGGGTCCAATCCACATCTCTGTTTCTTTTTTTATTGTAAAGAAGGAAAAGTCAGAAGACAGACAAGACCAAAAAACAATGTGGCTACACCTTCGAAGTAACGTGTAGTTTAGTGTTTACATTACAGAAGTTTCTAACAGGAGTAGATACAGTAGTTGACAACCCTGTGTTTGCTTCATAAGGCAGGCAAATGCAGAGTAGGGGGCATTCAAGGAGGATATCTGGTGATGGGAGATGGACTGCATTATTACACTGCCTGCCCATTCTGGCCTGTAAATTAAATCCATGCCATTTTTGCCATAATAGGGCTCAAGAAATGGCATTAATGCTTGCAGTGGGGGAAATACTATGGGGGCATACGTGCAACCAATCATCAATCCGTGCAGGAAAAGTTAGGCAACTTCAGCCATGTCACTGCAGGGATCTGCATTAGCAAGCATATTTCAGAATAAGCATTTGCAGAGGTTGCATAGTTTTGGACCCTGATAATAGAGATGTGGGCTATCATGGCTTTCCCTTCTGTTTCCCCATCTGAAGAAGCAGTGAACTAGTGAATTTATTTTCATAAAAAACACATTTAAATATTACTGATAATATCAAGTTTTTCTATTCACTGGTTTTCTGTGAGGAAATTTTCTTTTCTTTTTTCATTACATTTCCATATTGCTCAACTGCCAAAAAATCTCTGGGAAGTTCCCACAAAGAAAGGTTGGATAATTTTAAATTCAAAGTCCTAAGAGTGCCCATACAGTGGGCAGATGCATTTCTCAAAGGAAGAGTTAGATGACTTAAATCTGAATGAAGCAGAACTTACCCTGTGTATAAGAAGGAGTCAGCCTTCTGAACGGCTAGGCAGGTGACTTCATTGATGTCAAGCATCCCTTTAGGAGAAGCTGTTTTCTCATTTTCATAGTAGCTCAAAAAGCTGCTTTCCAAAGCACACCACCTCTTATTACATTCTGCGTGAAAGTTCATGGGAATGGTGTGGGGAGAGAAAGACACATGAGTTTATAGACCAAAACAAGCACCACAATAATGTGACTAGCAAAAATAAATGGAACATGGAAGATCAGCAGAACAAAGAATAGCATTGTGAAGCTTAAATCTTCTATCTTCTTTACTACAAGAGCCTATAGCTGGTAAAATACCTTCTTCCATAAAAAGCTCCCTGAAACTTGCACAACAGTAATCACACTGGGATGAAGCCTCTGTAATGATTTTCTAGTAGCTGTTTCACTCGCGAGGAAGTTTGTTTTTAATGTGCACACCATTCAAAAAATGTCACCCTGCTTTTAACAGATGGAAGTGGTACAGTCTATTCTGCCATCTTAGGAACATTCCACCCCATTCTGTTATAAGGGTAGACTATTAAAAGGATAGTGCTTATAATAGAGAGCCCACATTCTCTGCCATTCTTCTGAGCTACTCCAAATGAGACTGTTGTCACATTAGAATTCTCCAGATTTGCAATTAATTAACCTTTATCTCATCTATCTTATTTGACTACCTGAGTCCAACTGATGGCTCTTTTCACCAAAACTTCAGATGCATAAAGTGATGCTGTATACAGCTTCCTTATTTGATCAAAAGCAGAGGAAACCATATTCCCTCATACAGTCTTCTTTTCACACCATAAGCAACTTCATCGGATTGTTACTATTTCATTTTTAAAACCACTTTTAAATGCCTAATATTTTATTTAAAAATTTGGGATTTACAGAAACTATACAGATATGGCCCAAAGAGGAAGAAACACATATACCTTAGAAAAAAAAAACCTCCAGGAAGAATTGAAAGCTGCAGGGAAAATGTGGCTTGACAGAAGCTGATTGCAAAATGAACAGTTGAATCATAGCATACAATAGCTAAAAGGTGCTGCTCTCCCCCTGAACACTGGAAATAGAGGCCAAGACAGAGTCAATCTATTTTATGCTGGTAGAAGTGATGCTAGAAAGCCCACTCGGTATTGTGAGGCTAAGGAAAACAATCTATAGCTTTCGAAGAAACAAGCAAAAACTTTGAGAAAACATGGAAAGACCAGCCTTTCCCAGAAGGTAGATGCAAAAAAGGAACACCGTACCATTTTTAAGTTGAACTGTCCTCATGTGAAATTGCTGTAAGTCAAGATTTGGTAGCCTATCCTATTGAAATATTTACCTATCATTACCTAAAATTGTTACAGTATCTGCCATCCTAAGATGAAAAAGAAAAGAAGCAGATGCCTCTAAATTTCCCTGCAAAAGAGCTCAGGTCCTGTCTTTGGCCTGTGTATCAGATCTTCTCTTTCCTCTGGAATCCTGCACCCAAGCCAACGTCTCCCTGAGAAATGAATGAGGATGTCATTTCTATTCTCTAACTTCCCCCATCCCCTTGTCATAATGGAACAAGATTAAGACACACAGCATATGTGTGCCTACAAGATTCCCAGCATCGCTCTGATCTGGAATCTGAATGCTGCATGATTGTTCGCTAATAATAATGACAGAATTATCGCTGAAATGTAGGAGGCATAGCATATGATGGGTGCTAACATATTTTACTTTTCCCCTTTAAACAGTAGGCTCTCATGTCACATAACAGCTTTTGAAGTTTTCCTTCATTTCACAAGGGAAGTTTTCCATGTGCTACAGGGAAGTTTGCTGCTCCAGAAACAGTAACAACATTGTTCCTGAGAGTATGCAAAAAAAGCCATATAATACTTTAAATACAACCTGTTACATAAAAGGATAGACTCACACTGTGCAACCTAACACTATTGCTTTGTTTTAGAACATTGTTTGAATAGAAAAGGTGTCCCAGGATTTGAGAACAGCCTGAACAGCCATTTTCCATTTCCTTGAAAATGAGGAAATAGAATTGAATTATAAATGTAGGGTAGGGTTCAGACTTGGTCATACTTAGAGAAGGTCATTGAAAACAACAGGACTCAACTTAGTAATAACTACCTTTAATCTCTTTGATTTCAGTTAAGTCTCTTCTCAGGATGACAAAGCTGGATCCAACCCACCATGTTTGGAACTACAGAATTCTAAAAAGTGCCTACTCTTTTTTCAGTGACCTAAGTGCAACATTCATTTAAGGCTTTGCTGTATATTTTCCCATAAAGCAAGGTTAAATGTGATTCCTTAAAATGACTCTTATAATGACTTGTCAGAATTTTGGCAAATTTTAAAAAATCATTTTTATTGATTTAATCTCATCTTGAACATTATTCTACCTGACAGCTTCAACCCATAAATTATAATGTTCAGATACAATTTGTTCAGGTAAACAATATTTTAAAACAACTTTAATGCTTAGCAATCAGTGTACTATTGCTAAATCACTCTCTCTCTCTCTCTCTCTCTTCCCTATTGTTTTTTTTTTTTTCATAAAGTGCAATCCTACACACTACAACTTCCACCATGCCCTGTCAGCATTTTAGTTCTCTTCTAACATGCATAGGGAACCTTCATGGATCACTGCTTTATCGTGGTGAAGGGGCTTGTGTAGCTCAATGAAGCTATGAACTATGCCATGCAGGGCCACCCAAGATGGACAGGTCATAGCAGAGAGCTCTGACAAAACATGATCCACTGGAGAAGGAAATGGCAACCCACTTCAGTATCGTTGCCATGAAAACCCCATGGACAGTACCAAAAGGCAAAAAGATATGACGCCGGAAGATGAGCCCCTCAGGTCAGAAGGTGTCCAATATACTACTGGGGAAGAGCAGAGGGCTAGTACTAGTAGCGCCAGGAAGAATGAAGCGACTGGGTCAAAGCCGAAAGGACACTCAGTTGCCAATGTATCTGGTGGTAAAAAGAAAGTCCAATGCTGTAAAGATCTGTATTCCACAGGAACCTGGAATTTACAATCCATGAATCAAGGCAAGCTGGATGTGGTCAAACAAGAGATGACAAGACTGAACATCAACATCTTAGGAATCAGTGAACTAAAATGGACAGGAATGGGTGAATTTAATTCAGATGACCATCAGGTATACTACTGTGGGCAAGAATCCCTCAGAAGAAATGGAGTAGCCTTCATAGTGAATAAAAGAGTAGGAAAAGCAGTACTGGGATACAATGTCCAAAATGACAGAATGATCTCAGTTCGAATCCAAGGAAAACCATTCAACATCACAGTAGTCCAAGTCTATGCCCCAACCACTGGTGCTGAAGAGGCTGAAGTTGACCAGTTCTATGAAGACTTACAACACCTTCTAGAATTAACACCTAAAAATGATGTCCTTATCATCATGGGGGATTGGAATGCTAAAGTAAGAAGCCAAAAGATAACTGGTATAACAGGCAAGTTTGGCCTTGGAGTACAAAATGAAGCAGGGCACAGGCTGGTAGAATTTTGTCAAGAGAACACGCTGGTCATAGCAAACACTCTTTTCCAACAACCCAAGAGATGACTCTACACATGGACATCACCAGACGGTCAACACAGAAATCAGATTGACTATGTGCTCTGCAGCCAAAGATGGAGAAGCTCTATACAGTCAGTAAAAACAAGACCAGGAGCTGACTGTGGCTCAGATCATGAGCTTGTTGTTGCAAAATTTAGGCTTAAATTGAAGAAAGTAGGGAAAAACATCTAGGCCACTCAGGTATGACCTAAATCATATCCCTGATGAATATTCAGTAGAGGTGACAAATAGATTTAAGGAATTAGATCTGATAGACAGAGTGCCTGAAGAACTATGGACGGAGGTTCGCAACATTGCACAAGAGGTAGCAACTAAAGCCATCCCAAAGAAAAAGAAATGCAAGAAAGCAAAATGGCTGTCTGAGGAAGCTTTACAAATAGCTGAGGAAAGAAGGGAAGCAAAAGGCAAGGGAGAAAGAGAAAGATACACTCAATTGAATGCAGAATTCCAAAGAATAGCTAGAAGAGATAAGAATGCCTTCTTAAATGAACAGTGCAAAGAAATAGAAGAAAACAATAGAATAAGGAGGACAAGAGATCTCTTCCAAGAAAATTGGAAATATGAAGGGAACATTTCATGCAAAGATGGGCATGAGAAAGGACCAAAATGGCAGGGACCTGACAGAGGCAGAAGAGATTAAGAAGAGGTGGCAAGATTACACAGAAGAACTATACAAGAGCTTAATGTCCCTGATAACCACGATGGGGTGGTCCCTGACCTCGAGCCAGACATCCTGGAATGTGAAGTCAAATGGCCTTAGGAAGTCTGAGCAACAACAAAGCTGGTGGAGGTGACAGTATTCCAGCTGAGCTAGTCAAAATCTTAAAAGACGATGCAGTAAAAGTGCTACACTCAATATGCCAGCAGATTTGGAAAACTCAACAGTGGCCACAGGATTGGAAAAGGTCAGTTTACATTCCGATCCCAAAGAAGGGCAATGCCAAAGAATTTCAAACTACCGCACCATTGCACTCATTTCACATGCTAGCAAAGTGATGCTCAAAATCCTACAATCTAGGCTCCAGCAGTATGTGGTCCGAGAACTACCAGAAGTACAGGCAGGATTTCAAAGAGGGAGAGGAACTAGAGATCAAATTGCCAACATATACTGGATCATGGAGAAAGCTAGGGAGTTCCAGAAAAACATCTACTTCTGCTTCATTGACTACGCTAAAGCCTTTGATTATGTGGATCACAACAAATTGTGGCAAGTTCTTAAAGAGATGGGAGTACCTGACCATCTTATTTGTCTCTTGAGAAACCTATATGCAAGTCAAGAAGCATCAGTGAGAACTGGACACGGAACCGATTGGTTCAAAATTGAGAAAGGAATTCAACAAGGCTATATACTGTCTCCCTGCCTATTTAACTTATATGCAGAGCACATCATGAGAAAGGCGGGGCTAGATGAATCACCAGTTGGAATTAAGATTGCTAGGCGAAATATCAACAACCTCAGATATGCAGATGATACCACTCTCATGGCAGAAAGTGAAGAGGAACTAAAGAGCCTCTTGATGTGGGTGAAGGAGGAGAGTGCAAAAGTTGGCCTGAAACTCAACATTAAGAAAACTAAGATCATGGCATCCGGTCCTATCACTTCCAGGCAAATAGATGGGGAAGAAATGGAGGTAGTGAAAGATTTTATTTTCCTGGGCTCCAAGATCACCGCAGATGGGGACTACAGCCAAGAAATTAAAAGACGTTTGCTCCTGGGGAGGAGAGCTATTGCAAATCTAGACAGCATACTAAAAAGCAGAGACATCACCTGCCAACAAAAGTGTGTATAGTCAAGGATATGGTTTTCCCAGTTGCAATGTATGGCTGTGAAAGCTGGACCATAAGGAAGGCTGAGCGCCGAAGGATTGAGGCCTTTGAGTTGTGGTGCTGGAGGAGACTCCTGCAAGTCCCTTGGACCGCAAAGCAATCAAACCGGTCAGTCCTAGAGATCAATCCTGACTGTTCTTTAGAAGGCCAGATCCTGAAGATGAAACTCAAATACTTTGGCCACCTAATGAGAAGGAACGACTCCCTGTAGAAGAGCCTAATGCTGGGCACAATAGATGCCCACCCATATACGCCCGCCCCCTGAGATCTGTGGGAGAGGCCCTTCTCCGGGAACCCTCTGTGAAGGAAATTAGGAGGGTAGGTACTCGGAGGAGGGCTTTCTCAGCGGTGGCGCCCAATCTATGGAATGCGCTCCCCAGAGAGGTCCGCCTGGCGCCGTCATTATTTGTTTTTCGGTGCCAGGCAAAGACCTTTTTATTCAAACGTCATTTTAATTGCTAATATTATTTGCTTAATTCTTCGGCCAGGGCAACTTATTTTATAATGTTAATGTGTTTTATATTTTTAGTGTTTTATATTTTAACTGTTGTTTTGTAAGCCGCCCCAAGGCTTCGGCGAATGGGGCAGCATAGACATTTTTAAATAAATAAATAAATAGATAGATGGCAAAAGAAGAAGGGGGCAGCAGAGAATGAGGTGGCTGGATGGAGTCACTGAAGCAGTTGGTGTGAGCTTAGGTGGAATCCGGGGGCTGGTGGAGGACAGGAAGGGTCACGATGGGTCGGACATGACTTTGCGACTAACAACAACAAACATGCATAGGATTTCATCTTTAATGTACTTGTGATTACGGAATTTTATCTTAAGGAAAAATTCTCTTTTCCTGCCTTTTTCCCACCTGCCAAATGCCATACACTCATAGAAACACCCCCCTCCCCCGGTTTTACCTTTAAAGCTCTGAAAGGGAACAGTAAAGGTCACCAAGCTTACTAATACTGTATAAAGGCAGCTAAGTAAAGGCAGAAGAGGCAGGGAAAGACTGAAATACCTTCTTTTAGTTTTCTCTCAGTAAACAGCTTTGCAGCACTGAAGGAAAGCTTGTATAAATAGTCACAAAGGAAGGTGGAAGGGGAAGAATCTTGACAGGAAACACTGTCTGAATGAGCATCGTAGTTAGAAAAATCTGTAAAAGTAATGAAAAATATAATAACAACTCCCCTTTGCATTGCCCATCATACACGGTTACAGCCAGATGAGACCATCACAATGCATTCAAGGTCCCTCTAAAGGCAATTCAGAAGGTTTTGCTTGTAACAGGCTATTTATTCTGTGCCAGCTACACTGGTTGCCAGTGTGCTTACAAGTTAAAGTGCTGCTGGTTACCTTTCGCTCCTCAATGGTTTGGACTAGGGTCTTTTAAGGGCCACCTGCACTCACTTCAGCCTGCTGAGGCCCTTACATTTTCCTCAGAAGCCCTTACCTGCAGGTTGGTCATTACGCTTGGTCTAACTGGTAGACATGTGAGCACTGTCTCATCCTTGTGGAGCTCTCTCCCATGGATTCTTTGGCCTCCTTTTCAGCTACCTTATACAAGTAAATTATGCCAAAGGTCTGGATTTTTAAACTGTCAATGTTTATTATGTTATATTAAGTTTTCTATGAATTGCTCGTGTTGATATTTTTAATTTTTTTTTATTTTCATACAGAATACTGAAGTGGACAAAGGGAACTAAAATGCCATTCCTATATTACAGTATATATCACAGTCTGGAATTTTAGAATCATTTTACACTGTGCCACATTTCACACAGAGGTATGCCTGAAAGGCTTTACGTGTGCTCTGAAACATGTGAAAGAAACCAGATTTAGACTAGATACCAGGAAGAATCTCCTCACTGTCAGAGAAGACTGTTCTGGTAAGGAACTGTGTAGTGGTGGACTAATGATACCTGTCTATTTGCATCTATAATAAGCGAGAGATACCTTCTCTGCTGTTGCTCCTTAATAATGGCAGTTTTTCTTGAAACCCTTCTAAAAATACTGTTGGCTCTATTGTCTAAAGCCAGTGCTATTTCTTATCTAATATTTGCAAATGCACAGTTAGAAACTTTGATAGAATTTTGCAAATGCAACTGTTGCAAGAAATTGTTTTCCTAGTGCTACTTCCAAAGAATAGCCAGTGACCAAAACCCTTGTGGCTTGTTTGAGGGGAAACTACCCACAAATGACCTATGAGCTGTTTCCTGCTCAAGGTGAGTCATACTTTCTGGATTTGAGCAGCAAGGCAAGCCACACCCAGGTGGGTCTTTGAGAAATGATGTATGGCACGGGTCAGGGATTAAAACAAGCTACCATAATTTATTTAAGCCATGATAGCTTGTTTGATTGTGTTTATAAACTGGCCCAGTATATAATATAGCTGAATATCCTCCTTCATTAGCTGGAATGGGGAAAATAATTTGTTTAATTCCTGGCAATAAAGGATCTTTGGGGTTTTTTATACAGTGTCCATAATGGTATGGTTAGGGAACAATCTGTTAGCATGCATCTGTATTTTTCTTTTCCATTAGGCGCCCATTAAGGGGGAAGTAGGAAGCTGTGTGGAACCATTCGCTTCCATGTTATTTAATGTTTTGGGTATGCCATATATAGATAATACTAGCAAAGTAAGAATGTATCTTTATTACTTGTAATAAGAAATATAACTGACCCAATCATACAATGGTTACGATTTCTGTTTTATAACTGCCAAGCGGAAATGGAGTGGTAATCATTGTAAGGGGAACTCTGGTTCAGACTTCCAGAGAGCAACTACTGTTGTATTTAGGTTAAAGAGTGAAGTTCCAGAACATCGAATATGATTGAAGCTTGAGCAGTTTTCTTCTAGTTCTATGAAGGCTTCATATATAGTCTAGGGACCCTTATTATACAATAATCTTAAAATAACATGTCATTGTTTCTGTGTGCTTTCCTTTTTAATAGTTGTCCAATGTGTATAAAATGCTTTGATCAGAATAGTGCTCAGGGCACTGAATGCTACAGATTTTAGCACATTGAATGTATAGTTGTTACTCACTGTACATGATCCAGATTTTCCCCCCATGAATTAGTTTATCTTATTTTTCCACTATGTAGATAATAATATTATTCGATGAGGAAATGCTATTATTTAGTACATGTTTGAAACACTATATAAGATATTAGATTATATATAAGATATATAATTGTTAATTTATGAATTGTATTTATGGGGTTTTTAGGTATATGCCGAGATGTTTCCGGTTTTTTTAACTCTAATTGTACAAACTGTTTATTTATGTTTATTTATTATTGTTGTAAGCTGTTCCGAGGCTTTTTGCGAATGGGGCAGCATAAAAATGGTTTAAATAAATAAACCTGTTACCTGGGAAAGCTGTCGGCTCTCCCTCACTAGAAACATTCAAAAAGCGTCTGGACAGTCCTCTGAGCGGGATGCTGTAACTTAGTGTTCTGCAATAGCCCAGGTTGGAACTGATGGCCTTCTGCCCCTTCCAATTTTACTATTCTATGATTCTGCATGAGATGAATATGTACAAAACAGACATACTTATCAAGGATGAGGAACTGAGTGAAATGGCCAATTGCTGCTATCCTGGTTGGCAAATCCAGATATGCTTCCGTGAGAAGTGGCCTTGATGTAAATATTTTAACTTTCCTTTCTTATCCTATGCACTATTCAAAATGGAAACAGAGTAACTCTGTGAAGAATGAGAGATGCAGCTCACCATAGCTACCTGCAATTCCCTGCTAGGTTTGTGAAGTACTGTTGCAAAACCTAAAAGTGTCATGGGACAAAAGTTTCACGTGTAAACCTCAGTGCTGAGTAAGTCCCTTTGCAGGCACAATGCTCAATTCTCTTTTCCTTAACTACTTTCTCTAAAGTTTTACAACATAATAAGTTGTAAAAGTTTTATATAGCACCTATATTATGTTTAAAGCTCAGCCACAAGCCAAACCATGAAACTATGATTTTAAGTTGTTTTGCAGATCTTGACTCGTGTTAACCAAAGTTAAGTGCCCATTCCCATTTCAGATATATCATGTGGTAAGATCTGTGCCCCATTACAGCTCAGTCTCTGGTTGGGTGGGGGTGGTTTAGCCCTAAATTGCGGGGACTTCTTTGAGGGAGAGGCCAAACAAACCCTATTACCCTTCCACGGTCTGGATGGTATCAGGGATTAAAGGTTTCCCTGACATAGATTTGCTCATGATTCATCTTCATTAAATCTGTTGTCCAGGTGTGTACCTCATTTTCCTCCCCCATTCAGCCACTTTCCTCTCCTTTTTTCCTCATTCTCTCTCTCTCACACACACACATGCACACGCACGTGCACCCCATGTGGCAAAGCTCTGGGGCGTCTAGCAAGAGATCCTTGCAATCAGCTGTCACAAACTTATATCTTGCAGACAGAACTTGCAGCATCCAATATGCATCAAAGAATTTCCCACAAGAGCTACCACTTAATGTTACCACATTATCTCTCTTTCATGGTAATTCTATTGCTTCCAAGCTGTATTTACATAAAACGTGCCATGCCGATGCAGTTACAGAATAGTCACATGCAGGTACTGTTCCATACCTGAAAACTTATTGTGGTAGAGGAATTCCATTTGGAGCCTCTGCCCAGATTTCTTGGCTAGCAGGTATGGAGTGCTGTAGAGTGAATCTCCAGTAGCACACATCACATCTGCTCCACTGAACAACAACATCATTGTTTCCCATACATCCTGCTTCACCACTGCAGCGCACAGGGCCTGATCATAAAGATGAAAAGCATGAGCAACAAGCAGCACACCAAACAGGGCAAGATTAATGCCTCTTAATTTAATTGGCCATTTTATTGGTCTCCTCACACCGTAGCTGGCGAATTCAGATGAAATTCATACAGCAAGGTCAGAGCCTGCTACAATTCAGAGACAATGAGCATCGCAAGGTTATTAAATCACAATGGACTGTAATTATTTGGGGAACTGGTAGGTCTGAATCAAGACATGTTATTCAAGACAAGAGACCTTGTACACAACCTGTTGTGCTAACATTCTAACCCTGCTCAGATGACAAAGGAGGCAGAGGACCACAGCTCAGATCATTGCTGCCATCATAATTGGCACATGGCTGCCCTCAGTTCTATGGCTTACTCACAGAAAATGGTGGAGTGGATTGCTCTGAAGCTTAGCAATCTAAGAGAGTGCAGTTTAAAGGATGATCCATGCCAATTTTGAGGAGGCAAACAGCTGATTCATAAGAGTTTAAAGTTCAATGAATGTCAGGACTTTCTTTTTCCCTCCCCAAGAATTTATGAGTGTTACATCATTTTTTGTAATGCATCTTTTGGGAAACCATTTGCTGTGTTAGGGGAAAGGGGAAAGGGTTAGTACTGGGGTGGGCAGCACGTGGCTTACAGAAAGCAAGCAACCTCTTTGCCTTTTTTTTCTTTCTTTTTTTTGCAACAGAGCTGCCAAAGGGAAAAGCAGCCCTTTTAGCAAGCAACATAGGCCCTTTCCCTACCATGCCCCTGCTGCCAAACTTTTGTGACAAACCGTTACATTTTAAAAGGTACTATTCTTACCACCAGAGGTGGGGCAGCACTCTAGTGGCAGAAATCCCATTTTCAAACAAGCAACAAAAAGAGACAAAAGAACACCCAAACCAACATGCCAGCTACCTTTACCTTATTTAGTTCTTCTTTAGTATGATGCAGTAGAGTGGTTCTTCTGAATCTTCCCTCTTTATATTTTTGAGTGATAAACCTTAGCCTCCTGTCTGTTGCAGCATCCATAAGCAATTCCTCACCTGGTGGAAGATTCCCTTCCCAAAAGCTATTTGCCCTCTTATTCCCTATCACAATAAAAAGCTGCAGTGGGAAGAAAAGAAACTCAGCATTAAAAAAAGAATTAGATCCAGACAGACTGGGAAGTGTATGCTAGGCAAGAAAGTTGATTGTGCACAGTTATGACTAACAAGGGAAGAAACAAGGAGATATGCATGATTACAATACAGTTGAAAAGGGAAAAACAATTCAAACTTGGAGCAATACTATATGTATATATCATACTAATCAAAATTAAGATAAACATCTGCACCAAAGTAATGCAAATTCTGGGACAAAAATTTAATTCTACCTCTGCAGAATTATGCAATTATTAAATTATGCAAACTCAGAAAATTATTATTCATTCTCTTATTTTCCACAATATATTCTGCACCACCTGGCCATCCCACCTGGGGATGAAAAGGTTCTACTCAGATATGAATGTTCCAGGCCCCAACCTTCTTATTCAGGAATTCATGTGGATTTATTGTACACACATAGTCAGCTGACATCTCCACAACCATAAAGGCTTGCAAAAAAAATTAAAAATGACTTTTTGGCCAAAAAAATATTATTGCCAAAAATATCTATGAAAGCTGAATTCTGGGCCTAAAACATATCCTCCAGTTTTACTGTGCTCCTGAGAATAATACACAGAAAGTAGACTTGAATAAAGAGGCATTTGTGCAAAAATCGGGGATCCATTCTCAGTTATTGCACCCATTCAACATATCCTGAAAATAGGAGAATGTAGGCACAAAATAAAAATATAATGTCAGTACAGTGCTTATAGACCTAGTAGGATGGTCTAACTGTCAGAATAGCATTAAATATATGGACAGTCCTGAAATAATTTCATTTGCTTAATCAAGTAAATAGTACAACATGTATTATTATTAATGTGTGGTAAAACTTCAGAGCTATTACAACAGGAAGAAAGGTTCCATTTGTAGGGTAGGGAGAAGCTTATTTATATTTAATATCATTACCCTGCAGTCCTCCCATTCCTAGAACTCTCAAGATGGCTTAACATGAAACCAACATACTTCAATAAAAGAAATTACAGCAAGAAAAGGAAAAAGATCAGCATTAAAACAATCAAGTAAATCAATGTCAGTATTAAGCAGGAAGCAGCCTCAAAGAGAGCAACAAATTAAATACTATTACAGAAACCTATACAGCAAAAGCTCCCTTTTCCCACTAATACATGCCTCGTACTCTCTTTTCATCCCATTCTTTCCTACCTCAATGAGTTCATTGCTCCAAATGCTGGCATCCATTTTGAGGCTTCGAACCTTGGAATCTCTGGGCCCAAGTGATCTGTGCTGTCCTGGATGAAAAGAACGGGAAGAAACACACTTCAGAATTAAAAGGAAACGATACAAGAAACATAATAAAAGTTTCACAAGTCTTCATAAAAGAACTCCTTTCAGATGATAATGGATATGGGTGGTCAGGGGGTAGCGGGGAGCAGAATTGCCAAGGTTCCGTGACATGTTAGAAGGTCAGAAACTGGCCACTGTATGCACAGTTGACATGTATAGGCACTCTAGAGATTTATAATGAAAACCTGGGCTAATTTTGGGATTTGGGCTAATATTGTGACACCTGAAAAGAAGTACAGGTTCAGAGTCGAGATTCTTCAAGAATGTATTTATGTAGATGTTCCCCTGTCCCATGGACCTGGTGTGCAGGTGGAATGGACTGGCAATACAACACTTTTTGAGCCCCAAATAGATATAAAGTGCCTCCTATTTCCAGATCTAGATCTGCCCTAATTCTAATGATTGCTTCAGGTAAACAAATATAATGGAACTCAAGTCCAACTCTTAAACTTACATGCAAAGATCTTGCTTTGACAATCAAGTTTTTAAATATTAAAAGCTTGATGGTAAAATCTGAAGATTGTTTCCAGCTTTCTAACTCTTCTAATGTATTTAAATTAAAGTTTCAAGTTTTTCAATGTTGCATTTGAACCTTTGTTTTCATTTGGATGATCAAATTTAGTTGCAGGAAGCTTGCCATATTTCTCCATCACCTTGAAATTCATTCATAGAAACTACCATTACACTTCATCTCTACTAACAACTTGGTTTTTTTTTTAATGCATTAACCTTAAGGCATAAACATGGCTTATTAAACCTTGTATACTTGCAAAATATACTTTATTTAACATATACTAAATTCAGTATATGTTGTTATTTCAGTATGTGTATCGCTTCCAAGAGATCCTAAGTTGAAAAGAAAGACACATGGGTATGATCTCTGAGATCACACAGGAATTACTAAGAGCCATAACAAATCCAAGATGCTTCACCTGCAAAGTTGTTTCCCTGTATTGCAAGTGTAATTTCCTTACACTTTTATATTAAATAGAGCCCTTCAAATATAGCAAGTTTTTTTTAAAAAATTATGATTAAACTCGGATCTATTTGAACTCAGTATCTGGCTATTGGAACGGTAGATGGGATCTTAAAGATCATCAACATTAATTCCAGTGAGATCCCATGGAAAGCTAAGTTCATATTTATGCAGTGCTGCTTAAATTCAAAATGATATATGTACATAAAGAGATGGAACTGTTAATGAGTCCTTATTTTAACTTCTCTGTTAACAGGAAAGAACTACAGTATTGCCAATAAAAACTTTCTCTATCCTAGGATTGCTTAAGCCATCCAATAGTTCGGATGTACAGCGTTTCATACTGCACTGTGTCCTGTCCTTAGCATTTGGTTTCAGTGAAATCAAACTGAACCTTAATGTCATTTAATGAAACTCTCAAAGGTTAACATAAATTTTCTCTCTCTCTCATGCTCTCATGCTCACATGCACACACACACACAAAGTCCAAACAGTGGAAGCAGCATGGGAAAAAAATCAGCACAGTTCATTGTACATAAATATGTGGTGCATGAGGTGGCACAAGTTGGAGGAAAATAAATTTATTTATTTCATAACTCTTTAGAATTAGTTATGAAAATGATCCCGGTGTCATTTATAACTTTACACAAAATTAGAAATAAACATGGTTGGCTCGTACAGTGCCCTTTAAGGCAGATGCGTTGCTTGACAGAACCCACTCCCCAGCCCAAGTTTCTTCAGTACCTGCACACTTGTTACAAATGACAACACAGAGATTGATGGACGCCCAGTCTGGATCCGGGGCTTTACAATCAGCACAGAACCTGTTTGATTCATTGAACCAGATCTTCTCAGCTACTTCATAGTCAGAGAGAGTTTCCGCTATGGACTGTTGCAATGCTTCGATCCACTCCTGCTTTTCTTTTTCCGTCTCTGCCGTAAAGCTGAAAGCCATTGATACATCGTAAATGCCTTTACTTCAAGTCCAAACTCAACAAGATGCATTTAGTTATTAGGCAGCAATTTTCAATGCTAAGCAGCATGAAGATAAGCTCAGGAGAAACATGAAAGCTGAGGGGCTGGCACTGGGATTGTCAATAATAATTCAGTGAGCCACTGCAGCAAACTGGGACTGCCCAGCAGTTTTGGACTGCAGTGCCCATAATCCCAGACTGTTTGCTATGCTGGTTTGTTCTGTTGGGAATTGTAGTCCAAAATTTCTGGAAAATTCTAGGTTGCTTTGCCCTGCATTACATCCCAATATACTCACCCTCCCAAGTATCTGCTACATCCAAGCGTTACAAGAAAACAGCACAAAAGTTTCACTCCTTCCAATCAGCACTTACACTACCATTTAGGTGAAGGCTATCCATTTGTTTTTTGTTTTATACATGCTAATTCCTACTGCAACAGCTTTTGAATAATAACGTAGCTTTTTCTCCACACAAAAAAACTCCTCCAGCCACAATACTGGGCACTTCTGCCTTTCTGCAGCTGAACAGTTCACTTAGGCTCATGGGGAGGTAGGGAATGGAGGATGGAAACATCCAGGACACAATTGCTATCAAAAAAAACCCCTACTCCTCCAGTTCCAGCAACTACCTTCTCTAGGCAGGCTGGATGGAAGCATCTTGTAGTGTTTATAGCCATGGCTGTTCAACAATTCCATGTGAATTACCAGCAAGATACTTAACTCTCTTTAGCAGTGATGAGTAATACTGAAGGTCGATCACATCATGCACCAATCTAGTTATGGTTCCCTGCCCAATCTAGTTACCCATCTTAAAGACATGTCTATTAGCCATTTGCCTCTCAAACCTTCTCTCTGGTTTTCAAACTAAAAGGGGAGGAAGCAGTACAAAATTGTGTGCAGTAACAAACACTGAACTCTGGTTGCACGTTCAAACTTCCCACTTGACTCTGAACAAAGCTGAAAGATATTTAGGAACAGATATCCAGGAGCAATTTCCTAATTCAGACCCAAATGGGAAACTGTGGTTTCAACAATACTTTGAATTACTGCCTTGAAGCATGAGGAGAAAAAAAGGAGGAGGAGCCACACCGACACAACTTGTTCTCGGTCCAATAAACTAGGTTTATTGTCTAGAGATCGTTGCATTCATACACACACTGCTCCCGTAGAAGTCAACCCCCACATTATTTCTCAACAGGTAATTATATGCTGAAAAGCACAGCACACACACATAAAGGGACCTGTACATGAGTCAGATACTTGCTCTGCTCCCTCCACAATCCTTATGCCCCAGGCCAGTGCAAGATGGTCTTTGGAAGAGGAACATAAAGTTGATGCTACTCCTTAAGATGAAAGTTTGGGCTTCCCAACCCTTTGGCTCCGATTCTGGTGTGATATGGATGGGAGGAGGAAGTATGAGCATTTGAAGGAGAGAATGGACAGATGGGAATAAGTAATCTTTCCCCCACTTTCCAACTCTCTCTAAAAACATGCCTTCTGTCCTCATCCCCTCTGCAGTCAGCTTTTAAACATTTGGCTCTGGCCTCCAGCCAGGCTGTTTTGTGGTAAACTGGCACAGCTATCAAAGAAGCATTGCAGAACAGGCAGGATATGAGGGCAGGTAGCCTGGTACGCTTAAAGAAGAATGTAATTGCATCGAATATAAAGAACATTTAGTGATGGTCAATTATCCCAGCAACTTTGCATTCATGGACCAAAGAATGGGATGTCAGAGCAAGTTTGTTTTGTCAAGAGCAATTAGGCAGAATGTTGCCAGCATGGTTTTCCTTGTAGCTCAGCAAACTAGAAAGGCACTAGAAACTTAATGAAATTTGAAAAGTCATGAAGGGGCCCACAAGATTTGTGAGGGGTACAATCTTCCTGAGACTCCAGTCATCTGTACTTGTGCTCTGAATCTGGAAAAGGCTTAGCTGTGGGACAACCACATCTAGGGCATGATGCTCCCACCCACTCTATCCTCTTGGAAACAACAGATTTGAGCACTTCAGTTGGCTGAGATAATGTGACATGTTGTCCTCAGCTTTAGAGGCAAAGCTATTCTTGCCATACTGAAGGGACCATCACGTCATCTGGATGGCTTCAATATGTCTTTAAAATGCTCTTCAGAATTACTTATCTCAATATTGCTAAAACAAACAGCTTACCTGAAGTTTCTGTATGGTGTAATTATTTCAAAAGATGGTTTTGCAGTCCGATCTATCTGCCTTACATTGGCCACATTCATGGGGATTAAGGTGATGCCATATCCAGTTTTGAAATCCTAGAGGAAGCAAAATGAGCACATGAGCTTCAATTTTTTTTTAATACATATCCTCTTTAAAAAAAAAAACTATTTCCCAGCAGTGGTTGCCTACTGAATGTGACATAACTGGGAAAATTATGCTATTGCTTGCATCAAATATTATTTAACACAAAGTTTTTCTAAAATACCATTTTTCACGTTCTGCAAGATCTATGTTGCTCTATCTTTTTTCCTATATGTTCTAAACAGTTTAAACTGTAACTTATTTCAACAATCCTTATAGCTATTTGTAGCATAGGCCAGTAACATAAACATTATGTTTCGGCTAAAACTGAAAGAGAGATTGGCTTGCCTAAAGCTATCCAATAACTAAGCTGGAATTTGATGATCCTCCTTCCTTCCATTTTATCCTCACAGCAGGAGGATAGGTGGGTTAGGCTGAGAGTCAATAACTGCCTTCAAATGAACTTCAAGGCCTAGTAGGCATTTGATCACCCAAGTCCAGCACTCCAACCACTATACAATACTGACTCTATTAAGGCTGGTGTTATGTTGACAGAGACACTTTGCAGGGATGGAATAACCTGCCTGTGAAATGGATGTTTTCCTGAAAGCACAAGGCCATTGTGTCTGACTTAGACCATTCTCTACAGCTGGTTTCTCAATTGCATAAATCTGACCAGATCCAAGTGTCTGCTACCTCCACCTTATGAGATATTTTTTCAACCAAATGTGAAATTGAGGGGCACTGATCAGGGCCAGGAAAGGGCAGGAGGCCCATCTCTAATATTTATACCAGGCTTGGCTAAGTTAAAGGCCTCATACCACTTGCCAATCACAGAGGCTGATACTGCTCAGTTCTATGCTCTTTTATGCTCAAAGAAGATACAGGGAACTGAGCACACAGCATCCTGGGAAGCTAAAATAGACCAGCCCTAAGATCAGAAAATAAGATGTCTAGTTCAAATTCTCAATTCCCCCAGTAATTGTCAAAACACAGAGATATGTAAATTTTCAATTTCATTCCACTCCTTATTGCTTCCATTCATTACTTTAGCTTACTCATTTTTCTGTTCCCTTGCCTAGGTAGTTAGTCCTCACCCACTTTTATGACTCTAATAATTTTCTTCTTTTGCCTTCAACCACTCCATTTTTTCTTAAATCAATGTTCTTACACCTGATGTATCTGCTCCACTGCAAACACAACGATTTCTCTGGAGACGTCATGGTGACTTATTAATCCATTCCTTATCAGTTGTATGGGTGGGGAATGCACACTATAATCCCCTGCCAGCTTGGGTTTGCAAGCACATTACATACCAGTGATATATACATTACGAGGCAAGGTAAACAGAAATAATATATATACCTGGTCAAACTATAAACTATAAGGAGGAAAGTTGTCAAGATACCAGACTCCAATCTAGATCATCACTGATGGTTTGTACTATACAGATACGATGAGCAAACATAAGCAGGTATAATTCAATACATTAGTTGGAGATAACTAGAAGGGTTTCCATTCATGGAAAGAATGGAATCTTCAAATACAGCCCCAGATACAGCATCTTTACTGTTCTTTGCTTTAGGCTACTATCCAACAGGGACGATCATAGGGGTTTATTGCATTATGACTTAGCACAGGGCTGGGCAAATTTGGGAGACCTGGCCTGAGATTCCCACCCCCATGGGTTACACACTTCCCCTATGCAGATACAAAAAAATGAGTGGGGGGACAGGAAAAGAAAAATGCACCTGGACTTGTTACATGCCTGAAAGGCTAAAATTAGCTTGTTCACAAACAAAGTAATGTTGACCTTTTTTGGTATTCCTTAGCAGCCCTGGACACTATTCTGTTTGCCCAAAAATTGGGGGTTAGTTCACCTGAATTTCAAGAGTGGTCGGAGCACTGGGAGACTGCATGCCACCCATCCCTGGTTTAATACATGTGTGACAAACTAGCATCCTGTAGGTCAAATCAGCCACATCCCTCGTCTGGTCCTTGCCACCTCTACCAAATTTGAATTGAGCTTTGGTAAAATGTCTGCCCACAACAAAGTGTTGTCATTTGCCACCACTGCAGTTGCCAAAATGGCTTCCAACTGCCACAGCAGAGGGAAGAAGAGCCAAGCTCAGATCCTTCTTCTAAGCAACAATTATTCATTTCATTTCTATGCTGAACACAACAGCCAAAGCTCTTTTGCTATGCACATCATCAAAAGATGCTGCTATTTATTCTTAGAAACCTGCATCGATTACAACACTCTCCATGCATACTTCACAAGTCCATGAAATGGTAGTATCCACTGGCCCCACCCCTGACCTCCTATCCCCATTTCCCCCCAAGTGTCATGCTGTAAGAATGCCATTACTGGACTGCATGTAATATATACACAATATTATGTATGTTGTGCTATGTTGTTAACATATGCTCCTTGCTGATCTCTGGTACCAAATTTATTAAGCAATTGAGGTTACTGTGAGGGGTGGTCAACTGCATGGTCAATAAACTTCCACCCTATCTAGAGACTAAGCAACTCCCCGAGAATAACTAAATTCACCCTTGCTTATCTAAGCACTGGGTGCACTCAGACAAAAGGATTATCTAACAAGCAAAAGGACATACCCATGGAAAGAGGAATTGCTTTGTTTTGGAAATATTTTGTTACCACCACTGACATGGAAGGGATTTCAGAGATCATCTACTCCAATCACTACTCAATGCATGCACTGTACTCTGGGTGCAACTACAGCATCAGAAGTAGGAGTACGAATAGTAGTAGTAATGGAATTTTGCTGGTGCAATCACTTTTTATACAATTTCATAGTCTTTTGTTGAATATTTGTAAAAGTTATTCGTTTCCTTAATCCAGCATTTTGCTTTCAGAGGGTTTTATACTTCAAGGAGGCCTAAAATATAGTTTGAAAAGAAGTAAATGGAGAAGAAAGAAGAGGAAGAGGAAGAGGAGGAGGAGGAGGAGGAAGGGAACTGATTTCCATAACTGCTAAGAAAATGTCAGATTGTTTAAGGACAACTCTCTTTAGTCTGATGATTTAGTATTGCCGAGTGATGCCATTTGCTTTCTACCAGATGTTCCTGAGGTTCAGAACCACAACTGGAAATGAACTCACAGCCCTTTGGGCATGTTCAAGAAAAAGTGGCAAGACCACCAAACTTTGCATTGTTGAACGCAATGTTCTGTAATTCTTTCTTTGCTGTATGGCAAGAAACCACAGCTCACCACATCCTGGCTTACCACTATCACTCAGGATGTGGAATGAAAAAACCAGCAACTTATTGCCTGAACTGCTACTTAAATAAAAACAGCACACACATGTATGCATATTTACTCAGCAGTTCAGGCTTTGAAGCTGCAGCAGCTTTGAGCTAGTGGTCTATAATAGCAACCTGGAAATTCCAAAGACCTGGCACAAAAAAAGATGACATTTGACCCAGAGACCATCCAGTGCACAGCTCAAATACTACCCTCAAGTATAAGGCATAAGCTCTCTGGAAGAAAAAGGATGCTTTCTGCCCCAGCCATGAAAAAATAAAGCATTTCGATGTACTTTTCTGCAAAAGCAGCTTCTGAAACCTACAGAGGAGAGAGACTGTAATTATATTAAATTCAAAGTAATACACCATGGTTGCACAGATATTTCAAGAAATTTCACACACAGACACACACACACTCAGCATGCAAGAAGGAAAGTAGCTTTAAGGCTAAGAGAATGTTGTGAGCAAGTGACAGATCGAGTGGCATTCCTGACGGTATACAGATCAAGTCATCCTGCAAACATCCCAGCTGATCTCACAGATCCAGAGAGGGTAACAACAGGGAAACCAGGCAACACACAGCGAAAGGGATGAGGGACTGGCACAACTGAACAAGCCCTATTTGCCCAAGGAGTGTGCAATTCCCTCCCAGCTGGGCTCCTCCAACACAGGAGCTGAAGACCATGATAATTAAATGGAGCTTATTCAGAATTTCACACTTGGGTGGCTAATAGACTCCAGCAATTGTGATCACATTATGTCCCCAGTTCTGTTCATTTATATTCAGATGTCTGAAGAGTCAATATCAGTGACTGGCATTTGCTTAACAGCCTGCAATAATGAAAAGATAACAGAATCAAAGGCCCATAAAAAGGAGCAATTCCAGCCAGCCCTGTCACTTTGACAAACCCCAAGACATTCATCCCCCAGGATGTTTATCCTGGTTGTTTGGTACAACTTCAGTTACAATCCTGATCTCTTAAGGTATACAAGCTGGGAAGGGGAGAGGTGAACAGAGGGAGAGAGGAAATAAGGGAGGGAGAGAAAGGAAATAAATTCTTAAGCTCTTGCAGAATTTCCAGTTATAAACAAGTATTGATGTGCCATAGTTCTCTTATGCCTGAGCTACATATAACCATTTCTTCATTTTATTCCCACCCCTCTCTCTCTTTCCCTATCTCCTTACAACCTGAATCATGAAATCAGTTGCTTCAGGCTTCAATGACTTTGCTCCTCTTCATCTAAGCCTGTCAAGCTTGGCACAGAAGATAAGTCCACCATTTCTAGCAATTTTAGCTACATCAGGATAAGTGGAAACAGGGTCACCCCCTCTTCCACCCCACCACCACCAATGCAGTCACTTGGAACCCAAATCATGAAGGGCCTCTCACATGGTATGGTCTGCTCAGATGGATTTGTCCAATTCTGAAGAGGAGGAGCAGGGGAGGGGGCCAAGGACTTTGCAGTCACAACTTTACTGATGCTTCTCCCACATCTTGAGGGGAATGCTGCTTTGATTTATATTTTTCGGTGGCCAGTTAGTAAAAGAAGTGCACTTCCGAGTTTTCATTTGATTCATCTGGAGAGGGAAAGAGGTTCATGGTAAGAGGGTTCTGATGCAGTTAAATCAACTGGAATCACTGTGAACTTGGCTGTTTTAGGAGCCAAGAGGTTTTATGCATACACACACAGGAGTGGGGAAGTGGGGGAGAGAGAAAAGTTGGAGTTGAGGCAGAAGGATGTGTGTGGTAAACCTAAGAACAAAAAGCTTCGCTTACCTTAACATCTGACCAATTGTTTGCCACATGCTCTCCCTAACATCACTTAGGTTGACTCAGCAAGCCAATGAATAAGATGTATAATAGTATAATTATTGCGAATCCAAAGGGAGGAGCTAGTAATTTCTCAAGGCAACCAACTCCCTCACCTAGTCAAAGGAAGCCTACGTGCTAATTCTTGTGGTATGCCATAATTCAATATATCTAGTCCATACTTGCAAAAGAACCTAGGAAAAGTGCCTCTTCCTATTTTCCAGAACACTTTATGAAAACACTACCAGAATAGGACTCTCACAGCACCCTTCACTCAGCAATCTCCTTTAATTCTAAACAACAGCACTAGTCCCTATCTAAAAAGCTAAATATCAATTTATCTGCAATAATCAGCATCGGGGATGGCTGCAGGTAGACCCACCCTTTCACCAGGCCTTCTGACCAATTATATTATCTAGTTTGTTTAGGTTTCATTCTCCAATTCATTCAATGGGGCTTTCTTTGCATGTTAAATGTTTTTAACTGAAACGTTTTACCTTTCGTTATTTTTTTTTCATTGTGTACATTTTGAATTTCAAATGGTTAGGCTGAAAACCATTTCAAGGTATCTTTTTAGACACAATAATTCCGACTAGAAAATGGTTAAATAAATAAACAGCCTACTAGGGGTGGTTGAGATTTCATTTGTAAAATAAGAACTTAGCAAAATGTTTCAATTGCTTCCTAAATTGGATGGAAATAACTTGAAATCAAAAAAGAAAGACTGAATATGGGAGAAAGGAAATCTGACAGATTTGCTCATCCATGCAGAGGGCTTAAGTCATTAGCTGTTCTGGGACTGACGACTTATATATACAACCCATGTCTGTGATGCTGAAATATGATTGACACAGGCTCTCTATTCTAACAGTTATGTGACCAAATGGCACAACATGGTCCTTTCTATGCTAGGAATTACATGTACCTATTGAATATGGCTAGTACAGGTGGGTGAAATTTTTGTTCAGTTTATTGTTTGATTAGAATTTACTAAAATTTACTGAAAGAACTTTGAGATTCTTTTTAAAAAAAAAAAACTGGGAGAAAGTGAAACTGACAGATTTGCCTATCTGGAATTTTGTTCATGCAAATATTTCAGGAGGAAAGAAAAAGCAACTTGTGTAAGCCTTAAAATCTATCAGGGGGGAAATGCTTTTAGAAGTGAAGTGCAAAAGCATAAGTCTTCCTATCTACTTCCAATTTTTAGAAGGCACACTCTGATGGGAATTTTCTTCCTTCTCTAGGAACCGTGAAGACCAGTTCCCTGTAGATTGCTCCTAGGGTATATTTTCCTTCAGTCCTAGTCCACACACGATTTTTTTAAAAAGTTGCCCAAGCTGGTTGTTAAGAGTTCTGTGGTTGAGGAAATGACTCACAAAATTCAGAAGAAATGCCAACTCTATATTAGGCCCAGTTACACACATCCACTAAATAGGTTTCATTTAACTAGATGTTATATGAATTTTATTCTAATACTTTGTTGTTTTTAACCAAGTATTTTGCTCTGATTTATTTTCTTAGTGTCATTTAATGCAGCTTTTCCTTTTCGTACAATTCCTTAGTTAAAAATCAGCCAATAAATTCATAAAATCCATAAATTAGTGGCCTCAGATTAGAAATCAAACTGAGTCTCACAAGATCTTACTCTAAACATTTCTAAGCTTGACATTATTCTCAAACATGAGGTCCCACTAACAACAAACTTTAGGATGGATATGGGATTATGTTATGCTTCGTACTTTTTAAAAAATGCTGCAATGTAATATTCAACTTTTACCTATCAAATTTAATAGTTATCAGTATATCCACTACTTTCAATGCGGTGATTAGTCTAGACAGATGTCCTAATGCTACCATTAAAATAAACCTCTGGAGGACACCAAGGGAATAGTTCCAGATAGATGAGACTTTCAGCACTTGCATGATGCTCAGAATACTCACTCAGATATCAGTCAACAGTATATATTATAACATTCTGGGTGAAAAATAAATAGCAGAGCTCTCTAGTAGCATCTGGCTTGTACCAAATGAACAAAATCCCATAGCTGTCAACCAATTAAAGATAGCTTGGGTGGCAATCCTATACACATTTACCTGGGTGTAAGTTCCATTAAACTTAGTGGGGCTTACTTCTGTGTAGAAGTATATATGATTGTACGATTACTGAAATTAATATTATATATTATATTAACACACATTCACTTTCATTTACCCACATGCAAATTCATCATTTATTTTGATTTATTTATGCATTAGATTTCTTACAATAAACTCAAAGTGGCTTACATCATTCTCCTGCTGCTGCTCTCCCCGCAACAATAACCCTGTGACTTAGGTTGGGCTGAGACTCTGTGACTGGCCCAAAGTCACCCAGTTGGCTCAATGGTTGAGTGGCAACTAGTATCTCCTGGACTCCCAGTCTCAAATTCTTAACCACTACACCACATTGGCTTGCATTAATTTGCATATAAGTAAATGATAAGCATTTTGCTTAGATGTTATGCCAGGAATTGACTGAACTCAGACAAGCCAATAACATACACTTGAGGGTTGAATATAGTTTGAAGGCAGGTTGCCAGTGAACTGTTGGTTGTTGTTGAAATGTGGTTACCATGTTATCTGAACCCAGCTTCTTAACCACAAACAACCCATGAAGAGAAGCCACGATTTCTCGCTGAACTGTCAACACTTGTTGAGGTTTTTTTTTTGTTGTTGTTATTGCAGTTAGTTTCAAACACAGTCCATGTTACAAAAACAACCTACCCTCAAATCATATTCAGTCCTTGCATGTGAGTGATCATGTTGTCTGTATCCACTATTTCATAAGAGATATCCCCTTCTGTGTGGCAGAAAAAGGAATTCCTCTTAGAAGATGGTGCTGCCAGATGTAGCTTTTAATCCTATGCATTAAACATTAATCAAAAATCCTGCTGCTGCCTGATCAGGCCAACATTTTAAGTCAACTGATAGGGCCTTTTCCTTTAAAAACTGTTAATCTTACCAATTAGGCATTTATATGTTGCAGCCTTAAAAAGATGAACCATAATCAAGTGCATCAGTTCCATGCAAGTACCAGGATTCTGTAGGGCAAAAGTGTTCAGCTTTCTGAGAACCTGAACCTTCGCTGAGGGTACAGGAGAAAATTAAAGTTACCAAAGGAAGAAACCTCAGAGGACAGAGGAGATGCCAAAAGAGATTACCACCCTTGCCACAAACACTGCTTACTTTAGAGTATATTCACAGAAAGGGAAAACCAACCACCCCTAATACAGAACACACAGAGACTTGACTCCATGAGACAGAACAGTGAGTTTTCTACTGTTTCCCAGCAGCTAATTGTGAATAGAGCCCCTTCAAAGATTCCATGGAAAACCATGGATCTAATATTCTGAAGACAGCAGGCTTACTGTACACAAGAAAGCCCTTAGAGATTAATGTCTCAAAAGGCCCAATCTGCATGCACAACACCTAGCAGCTCTGTTATTGCCATATAGCATCTCCAAAGAGTATACCAGATGTTGCCTCATCCCAAGTCAGACAACTGGCTTCTCTAAATAGTACCATCCATCATGAACCTCTATCCATTTCTCCAGAACCTGAGGCAAAGTTGCCGGTTCAAGACTTTTTCCCCCAGATGGTAGATGAATGTCAATTTCAGTTTTTCAGTTTCTCATTTTTTCAAACTTTAGATCATTCTAATTCAGCCCAAAAATTCATAGGTATTTTCATATTTTTCCTCATTTATGTACTTGTTGAAAGCAATGTTTCCCTCATCTAATGCATTTGTGTACATTATTTGCACGAACATAAGCATTTTTGTGCTCATGTACTCCTACTAGACACATTTGTGTATTCTTTTTTAATGGAAGAACTGTATTGCAACAAAAACCAAGCGATTACTGCTTCTTGCTTTACACAGTGGCTGGGGAAGTCTGAATTCAGCATGCCTCCATCAAAATGCCAGCCAGAATTTCCCCTGTCCCTGCTGGATATGCTGAGGATTTTAACAGGGACCTTCTGAAAACAAAGCTGGTGCTCAGCCACAAAGCTGTATCCTTCCCACACAGGCGTGCACACACAGACACAATATCTCTGATGCGCCAACTGCTTGTCAATTCTTACCTCCTTTATTCATTCACAGTATTCTTGTGGGACCCATCGCTAGATTTCTCAAAATTTCATATAAGGAATCAAGACAAATTAGTTTATCTAAGGCCACCAAATTAAAAAACATGGTGGAACAAGGATTTCAATGCAAGCTCTACTCCTCAAAGCCACTTTCCCTTTGATGTAATACCATCCCACTGACATGCTTCATAATGCAAACCACAACTTGTATCATATACCATTTCATTTGGAACACTAAAATAAAATAAAATAAAATAAATAAATAAAATAAACATTTACCTATGAAATCTATCCAGAAAAAAGTAACATGCTTACCTGGTCATTTTTGCAGATCCATACACTGTGTCCTTGTAGCAAGGTAAAGATCTTGGCTTTGTATCCTTTCAATTCCAGATACCCACTTTTCTCAGGTGGAAGAGATGTCCGTTCTCGACAGATTTCAGGTTGTGAATGCAAAGCACTTTTTATAGTATTAACCCAGTCATTTCTTTCATCTTAGGAAAAGAAACAAAAATATCACAAAGCAAGAGGACAAACAACTTTTTCATAGGATTTTAGCACTGAGTTTGTAGTGGTTTTGCTGATAACTTTTTCTTTCACTATTACAGTTGTAAGGCTTTGGAACACCATTGAAAGGCAAGCTATCTATTTGGAAGTCAAGCAAGCAAATATGTAACTGCTAAAGATATATCTTGTACAATTCTTTCCACAAGATGGTAATGTTATAGTTTTATGAAATGTCACTCAGAAGAGCCAGTGCCTATAGAAGTAGCTTTCCACAGGAAAGATGTACAAACACTGATACACACAATGTGATACAAAGTAACAAATTCCACTGACATCATTGCAAAAACACTACAGTAATCTAGAAACTAGATAAATCTTCCATAGTTCACTAAAAAAGGGAGGCAATAAGAAGCTTATTGCTCCTACTCAATAAGCAGAAAATGCCTTTACACTTGATAGTAGAAGACCAACACAGCAAGTACACACGAAACTGGAGAGGATATTTATTACCATGGGTGCAATGGCAAAGTATAGCTTCATAAAATAAGGAGCACAAAACAAAGCATCCTTTAGGAGACTAAGGCAGACGCCTCCAAACTGGTACCATCCAGATGTATTAGAAAACTCCACTTTTCAAAGTCCCCACCCAGCATGGCTGGGCAAACATTATGAAGACTGCTGAGCAACACATTTGGAAGCTTGACAAAGGTAACGTAAAACAGGACGGGCAAACTGATGCCTCCAGATGTTTGACTGCAACTTCCATTTGCCCCAGTTAGCAAGGCCAATTGCTATGAATTATGGAGATTGTTGTTACAAACATCTGGTGGTCACCAAACTACCAATCCCTGTTCTATCAGAAAGAAAAGGGGGTTCTATCTCATCTTTGAAAATGTAAGACACAATAGGATTGACTGCACACTCAATCATCAAAAACCCTGAAAACTGGTGATGTTTGCCTCTCTATCCTTTCAAGAGATTGGGGCATTACGTCTGACCTCAGTGAAGAATCCCCACTGTCCTACAGCCCCTCAGACAAAGTGCAGGAGACCGAATTGTGGCCTAATTCTCAAAATACTATATACGCCTTAGAGAGCAGCATGATGAGCCACTGATGCATTCATGAGAAAGCCAATTCAATTAGGAAATGAAAGGTATTCCACAATAAGTACATTAAGCACATAAAGATTCTGGGACAGGTTTACCTTGCAAACCATCTCCAAGCATGGAAGATTCCTGTTTTCTCACTGTCCTGCAAACTTCGCAAATGCCAGGAAAACTTTAGAGGTCAATAGTTGAAGTATTTCGAACTTCGCTCCTTTGTTAATATTCCCTGGCTATCCAATTCCCACCCCCATAAATAATTCAAACTACACACCATCATCTTACATATTGATTCTGCGTCACACAGTCTCAGAGGTTAATAAATGAAAAGAGAAGAAATTGTTCTGGTCCCTCCTTTGCTGGGTTTAAGTATCTAACAAAATCTTTAAAAATGTCTGGAAACACTGCAAAAACACGTCTCTCTCTCTCTCTCTCTCTCTCTCTCTCTCTCTCTCTGTGTGTGTGTGTGTGTGTGTGTGTGTGTGTGTGTGTGTGTGTTTGCATGTCTGTGCAAAAGTCACAAGTAAAGTTAAATCAGATTTTATTTGATCTTCACACCCAAGCCATCAACTTGCCATTGCTCTTTGCCAGTTCTACACTGAACAGCGACTTAAGGCGGATGGCTGGGAGCACAGCTTTTAAGTAGTGTTAATAAGTGCTAACATAGGCCTATAGAAACTCTGTACCATCCCACAGAAAACCTTTAAAACAGTGTTTGTTCCATGAATTTTCTGCACAAGTTTTCTAAATCATAATGTTATCTCAGAGGTGTTTGGCAGGGAGGGGGTCCTTTTACATTTTTTACAGTCAGATTTAGGAGGTTTCCCAAGTCAGGGGGTTGATTTGGCTAGTCTACTTCCATGCACAGGAGTACAACCAACACGTACGTGTGTGTGTGTGTGTGTGTGTGTGTGAAGTTAGTGATTTAGGAGGCCATCAGAGGTTAGACTTGCCTCCATCTGCCCTTGCCAGTCAAAATATTTACATGGCCAATTTCGGCCTACACCCTTTTCCTTTCCTGGCAAGAAGGAGAGACCAAGGCTCCCCCAGGATTCTTTTGAAAATGCCAGTGCCTTACTCCTCTCTCCCATCTCTGGAATGCCCTGTGCACTGGCTCCAAAGACTGGAGCCCAGCCAGCACAGAAAGAGCCAGAGGGGCAGCAGAGGGAAGGCCTCCAAGAGTTTCTTTCAGAGCCTGAAGTTGCGACACCAAGGGACCACCGTATGGCAGCACCCGGCAATGTTGGGAGGCCACAGGACTGCAATGTTAATATTTACCCTGAAGCAGCTTAAGGTGCTTCTGACAGCAAACACTCTGGGTCTTTGAGATGAGCCCTCTCTGTTGTGATTAAGCAGCCATTCTAATACTCTGTCCAAACATTGGCAGACCCATCTACCAAGAGGAAACAGAGATGGCCATATCCCAATACTCACACAAGTGCTGACTAAGTAGGAAAACAGGAAAACAAATCACACCAATTTGCTCCAGATTTCCTACTAGGTCCAGGAGCATGGGAAAATTAGGCTAGAAGAGCTGCATGCATGCAGTAGCCCAATTTCTCCCCCTCCAGTCCATGTAATACCAGGCTGAAGTGGCTACAGAAAGTTTTTTCCAACTCTGCTTAGCGTGTAAGCTACACACTTTCCTTGGAAAGCAGAGCTGAGCAGAATCACTTAAGGCCTGGTCATGTCCAGGCTGGATGGCACAAAAGTGGTCTCTGCAAGGAAGAGACCTTGAAAACTAGTCAGTCTGAAACATCATGATCCGACCACAGCCCCACTTCCGAGGCTGCATTGTCTGTACTACAAACAAGGTTTTCTTTTTGTTTGTTTTCTCAATCAGACTTTTCTGATAACCTTCTCTGGATTTGATCACTGCAAACAATTTAAAAAGAAAGCAAGCTCAGACTGGTGCCCAGAAGTTTATTTTTGTTTGCAGTTGTCCATTACATGTCAAGAATACATTTGGTAAAAAAAAAGAGAGAGAGAGAGAGAGAGAGAGAGAGAGAGAGAGAGAGAGAGAGAATTTCCAAAGAACTACCACAGTTTAGTAAAGCCCACAACACCAACAACCTGGTGTTTTCCAGATGTGTTGCACTGCATGCTGGCTGAGAATGATGGGAGTTGCAAACCAACACAACTAGAGGGCATCATGTTGTGAAATGCTGAAATCATGCTTAGACTGTTAGACTAGGGATGGGAAGTCCTAGCCCAACACTATATCCTACCTAGGACTGGGAAAGCTAAATCCTCAACTCAACTGTGACCCTCACTACTTTGTGTGCTTTTGGGCCCAATCCTTTGGCTTAGGCAGGTCCACAGCTGGTTACGAAGATAAACATGGGTGGAAAGAACTTTTCACATCACTCTGAGCCTCTTTGAGGGTGGCAGGATGTAAGAAAGTAATTGTGTATGCTTTAGAATCAATGTTTGCTGCATCCTCCTGTGTGTATATTAGTTGCCATTGTCCTCAGCAGCAGGTTTTAGGGGGCCCTTGGGCAAGGTACCCACAGTTAGGGTCTTTCCTGGGAAAGCCCACCTCTTTATTACTGCTGTCAATGCCTATTTGCTTGCCCTCCTCCATTCTGGGATCAATCAGTGCTGCTACTGAAAGGGAGAAGCAGGTTGACAATGCTTCTGCTCCTCCTTGATCCTGTGACTCCTTACTCAACCAAACAGATAAGTAACAAGGAGAAGGAACAGCAGGATCTGGGGAGCATAGTAGTTTGCAGTGGGCCCTTGCCGGGGCACAGGCCTCAGCAAATGCCCCATGATGTGAACCTGTGATGCCACCTCTTTATTTCCTTGATATTATCACTGATATGTTACCAAGGAGAGGAGATACAGGGTTGCTGTTCTCAGTGGTGACCATGTTGACTGCTACTTTAGTCCTTCCAATCTGACTATGCAGATGATTATATCAACTCCATGGTCCTGGGCAAAGGTTGTCTCCCTTCACCAAGACTCCTGGGGAGCACAGAAATGCCAGATGGGACATTTGGTGGCTGCCAGGTTCACAAGACTTCTGATCAAGAAGTGTTATCATATCTGGACAAAAATCCAACTGTACAGTGGCTGTAAGGTAGATCCAGTCAGTCTATACACAAACTACACTTGATCTTATCTGATCTAAGATCAGATGTAGTCAGTCTCCATGGAGGCTTGCAAGACAAACTACGCCATAGCTTCAAAGAGAACCATGTGACAAATTGCCTGTGCTTTTTTGCTTAAGCACAAGAAATCAATATAGCCAGAACCTCTTGAGGTCTGCCTTCAGTGTAGGAGTAAATGTTAGATTTATACAATGTATCTTGGACTTGTTGCTAAGGGAACCCACCAACAGATTTTTTTCCCACTTTGTGTTGGACTTCACTTTTAAGTTGTAATCCTAGAACTGAAATAAATGCCTCTGTAGCTTTTTCAAAAATATCACCCACTGTCTCCTTTTGGCGCTGGAAGCCACCAATGAGATGCTTGCAAATTATCACTTGGAATTCCCGAATGGAAAAATAACCAGGCGGCAGCAGCTACCATTTGCTGCCTTCAAACCGACTTCTTACCTTCTTTTTCAGTCCTGAAGACAAATATCCGGTGCGCTGTAACAACTTCAAATTTGTTGTCCCCATGGATTCTGACTGCCGACATAGCAGCAAGGAGAATTATTCCCTTTGAGTACACCTCCTTTATCATACACAAATAGAAAGGGGTATAAGTTATATACAAGAAGCACAAGCCAGACATGCTCTTTTAATACAAACACACACAAATGTATAAAATATATACATTTTAGCATATTATGAATACCCATGCTAACAGCAACCTGGACTTCCAGCACAGTTGTTCAGTCTGCAAAATCCCAGTCAGAAGCCAACCTGTGCACTTTGCAAACATACCAATGGGGCTCCATGGCTGGGCACACACATGGTACGCAAGAAGACCCTGGTCTGATCTTTAGCATCTCCAGACAGGTCCTGACTGAAACCCTAAGGAATGCTACCAGTCAGTGTCCAGAGTACTGGGCAAGATGGACCAAGGATCTGGGTTGACATAAGGCAGCTTCCTCCATCCCTTTAATTTGTTTCACAGATGTTCTGGCCAATTGTAAGACACATTTCAGGGTGAACCGCAAAAGGGAGCAAAAACAAAAAAAGAATCACAAGAGAAAAATGATTGAAGGGGCAGAGGAGAGAAAGCAAGTGAGGAGGGGTGGCTTCTAGACATTTTTCTTCTTTTTTCCAAAAGTGCTAATCCCAGGCTAGCCTAGGCAAACCCCATCTGTGCTGTCTGCTGGCGAGCAAAGACTTTTATATTCAGGTGGACTTTTGGCAGATCAGCCAGCCTGTTGCTGAAGCCTTGCCTTTTTCTGACTGGCTGGGTGCTGCTTCTTTAACTACTGGGTTTTAAATTGCACTTTCAATGCATTTGTTTGCACAATGGTTTTGATGAAGCTTTGTTTTAATCTTGGCCTTGTTATTGTTAGCCACTGAGAATGACATATTTGGTGGAAAGGAAGAATATTATTTTATCTATCTATTATTTCAGATAGATAGATAGATAGATAGATAGATAGATAGATAGATAGATAGATAGAAGCTGCTCTGGGGACAGGCAGGAGGTCTGCTGCTCCTGCACTGCCAAAGCTACCATCAGTTTAAAGAAAGCATTTCTGCAAGAAGAATTTTCTTTTCAGACAAGGAAAAGAGGTCCAAGCACAATTGCCACTGCCACCAAGGACAAAGACAGACACTGGCTGGGTTAGCACAATCATGGGGGAAAGAATCCACAGAGGGGATTGAGCAAATCATGTGGCATGCAACTGGCATGCATGTGCTGGGAAAAGCCACCGTGGCTTCTTTTCCTGGTTATCATGTGAATCTGGGCATTGCAATTATAAGCCACCTCAAAAAAACGGCTATCTCCAAAACGGCACTGAAGCAGTTGCCCCAATTTGCCACCTAGTGGGGCTGTTTTGGTCCACTCCTCCTGAACTGGGTCAATACGGGGAGGGGGGTTCTGGCACAACTCCCCTCTCTACCGCCACCACCCACCTTCTTTTCATTCACTGAAAAAAAAAAAAAAAACACTGAACATGCCAGACAACATTTTGCCGTGTAGCACAAACGACTGCAGGAAAAGTCCACTCCAACATTTTCAACCACACAGGATTGCATTTTTGCTTTTGTTCCCCCAGCGAATGTGTTTGTGCAGTGGCAGCAGCTTGAGGTATGCGTTTCAGCATTTCGTGTCAGCAACAACAGCAAGCAGATGCGCGTGTGCGTCTGTGCGTGCGTGAGTGGTGCGCACATACATTCAAACACATTCTTATCTTTCTTAACTTTTTTGTTATTTTTCAGGGGAAAACTGCTTGCTGTACATGACGCATTTATTCTTGTGCATTTCGGCACGCCGGTCCAGCTCGATTAGAACATTGCTGGCAGTTGCTTTTCTTTCAGAATTATGTGCGGGTGTCTGCAGGCATCTACTGACTAGATTTGGTACTGCAGCTGCCACCAGAAAGCAGCTGGCACAGGTAGCTGCTATTTAGGATACCACAATCTCACCTTTCCCATCTCCCCAGTCTGTTCTATTCAGAGATGCAGCTAATGAAAAATAAAAAAGAATTGCATGCACTTTGTTTTTTCAATCTCCTCCGTGTCTTGACCAGGACAGAACAGTGTTGCTGGCCAGCTCTTAAAAGGAAGGAGTGATAGTTTTACTCTCAGCATCCCAGTAACGGAGGGTTTTAATAGAATAGCAATGACCTCATAGTTTTCAGCATTTGAGCAAAGAAGTCTGAGGCCAAGAATGAGAAAGCTGTCTCACAAGCAACAGATAATGAGCTATTACACAGGCTATTTGGAAATGAGAGATGTGGAATCTGTGACAGAACTGCATGATCACAACAATGAACTGTAAGTTGCTCATGCTACAAAGCAAAGGAAATGATCACCCCAGCACCTGATGCTTTGGTCTGACTCTTTCAGGGCTTAATAATAATAATATATCATTATTTTGTTGTTATTCTTTTTACATTCATATCCTAGCTTTCTTCCCTTTCCATGGAACTCACAGATGCTTGTAAATCTCTCCCTCCTTTTCCTTTTTATCCTCACACCAACAACCCTTGAGGTAGGTTTTGCTGAGCGTCAGTGACAGGCCAAAAGTCATCCACTAAGCTTCAAGGCTGAAAAGGAACCTGAACCCAGATCTTCCAACACTCTGCACCACACTGATTGCCTTTATATTCCACCCTTTCCCCAATTTCAAGGGGCCATTTGCAACTGTTGTCCTCTAATGTTTACAACAATCCTGGGAGATGTGATAGTTTGACAAAGAGTAGCTGGCCAAAGGTCACCTGGCATGTTTCAAGTCAAGATCTGAACCTGGGTCTTCCTAATACTACAATCCTGTGCTCTAAACAGTACATCTGACTTGCCCTGTCATAAAGTTCACAGTTAGGATGCTGCTATTTTTTCTTCTGCTGTGGCAGTATCATAGAGCAGCGATTTCCAACCCGTGCCTTTGAAAATGAACCATAACACAGGCGCACCTATCAGCCTATGCCAGAGATGGCAATTTGTAGGTCAAACATAACCACTCAGCTCAAGTTAATGTAACCAATGGCAGTTGTAGGCCAAAACATCAGGAGGGCTGCAAGTGGCCCACCCCTGCTGTATGTCAAGAATGAGAACACCTCACAGTAGCACTGAGACCTTCCCACTGGCAGTAAGAAACCATGACCTCTTGGGCATAACACAGTTGCTGAGCAGCTGCAACTGCAGCCAACGGGCTCAGGGGAAGCCCAGAAGCCTAACCACTGCCCAGAAAGGTCCATCACTGAGCTCTGGCTGACCAGACACCAAGGAGGGGATGCTGTCCCAAGGCATTATTAATGGAACTATTCCACACTTGTAAGGACGAACCCAGATGCCAAACTTGCCAGAGTTTCCAAGAGGAATGATGCCATCATCATGGGGACCTTCAGTTTCCCTGATATACACTGGGAGACAATTCCTGCCAAATATGGCCCCTCCAAGAGATTCCTGACATGCATGGCCAACAACTTCTTCCAGCAGAAGGTAGAGGAAGGAATGAGAGGAATAGCTATCCTCAATTTAATGCTAACTAACAGGGAAGATCTAAGTTGACAAAAGAGCAGCCACAGGAACTCTGGGGAAAAGTGACCATACAAATATTTGAATTCTCAATTATAAAGGAAACAAAAGTTAACTATAGCTAAACACATACCCTGGAGTTCAAGAAAGTCAACTTTAACACACTCAGAACAATGATAAATGATGTGCCATGGGAACTCACTCTTAAGGGTTAAAGGCATCCAAGAGGGATTGGAAAAAAAGAGATTCTCCAAGTACAACCATGAGTAATTCCAACAAACAAAAAGGGTTGAAAACAACAGAGGAAGCTCACGTGGCTCTACAAAAATGTATGTGACAACCTGGAAAAAACCTGGAAGATCTACAACCAAGATGAAGTCCAAGCTGAAAGCGAGGGATGGCAACCCAAGATCAACAAACATAGTCAAGAAATGTCTAGGTGGAATAAACATGTTTAAATCTCCAGGACCTGATGAACTCCATCCCAGAGTCATAAAAGAGCTAGTGGAGGAAGTTTTAAAAGCACTGGCTATTATCTTCAATAGAGCACAGAGAACAGGAAAGTGCCAGATGACTGGAAAAGAGCTAACATTGTCCCCATCATCAAAAAAGAGAAAAAAGAGAAAAAAGATGAACCTGAGAAATAATACAAGGTTTTCTAGGAGTTATTTCAGGAAAGATCTCACTTTGTTCCACCAAGCCCTGCTAACCAAGATTACTGCAGTGAATACAAGTTTTATGAGGGGCTATTGTAAACATCCCCCAGAGACTATCCTTTTGAATATAATGCCAGAGACGTTTTCAAAGAATATTTCAGAGTTATTTAAATATATGACAACTTCAGCAAGAATTACAATTGCATCTAAATGGAAAACACCAGAATCCCCAACAATAGAAGATTGAAAAAATAAGCTGGCAGACTACGCAGTGATGGCAAAATTAACTAATTATGTAAATAGGAGACCGATTGAAGAATTTAATGACAAATGGAAATTCTATTATACCCAGTAGAATTAATAGGATGTAACAAGAAGCTCTTTAAAAAGTCATTGATGATTTATAATTGATTTGAAGCAATTGGAAAATCTGTCTCCATGCAGAATAGTAATTCCCTTTTTTGTTCAACTTCCATAACATACTGAATGATAGAAAGATAGATATTTTCAGTCTCTTTGAAATTTGTGGGCTTGATTGGTTATACTTGTTCAAAGTCTCTTGGCCAATTTACTTTACTTTTATACACACATACACACACACCCCCCTTTCTTTTTCTGTATTCTCTTTATGTCAAAAATAATAAAATAAAATAAAATAAAATAATCTCCCAGAGACTTCAGTTGCTGCAGGTCGTAGCTGGATGGCAAGGACATATTCTGCAACCTTTGGGACAACCAAACAAGCTGCCGGTTAACTCCAGGCCCACACAAGGACGAGATGTATTCCGTTTTAACTCCCTTCATGACCTGGGACCTGCATTCCTTAGGGATACCATCCTCCGCAGCCTTTAGACAGCAATTCACAACAGAAACCACCCAACTGGGAACACTGGTGGTATAAAGGCATTATAGAAGGGGTTTGAACTCCTTTGGGCTTGAGGGCAAATTTCATTTTGAAGAAACTTGCTTGGAGGCCACACCTCAGCAATGGAACAGGGAAAATGGGTGTATGGCTTAACACCAGTAACAAAGCCAAAGGAGAAGCATTTCGATATTTTATGATGTGGGGGGCACAAAAGCCAGAAACCACCTGACGGCTGATGGTGAGAGGAAAGAAGTTGGGCCAAAAGATGGGCATGGGGCCTCTGGAAACCCAGGGGGCTGAACTAGAACACCAAGAGACAGATTTGGGCCCCCTGCTCTTGGTTTTTCACCCCTGCACAATAGGTGAGGGTTGTATTTTTACACTGCCATTTATAGCACATTTGTTAACACATTTGTTTCTAGTTTTGTGATAGAAACTAAGATTATAAACCATCTCAAACCACTGGATGTAACTATTTTAAACAAACAAGCATTCAGGGTTGCTATCCACTAGAGTGTTAGTAGCACTGTGGCAACTAATTCCTTAGACTGTCAATGGAAATCAAGCATGGTTGGCTGTGTTCAACTTCTTTTCCACCCACCATAACCCAGTAACCTGCACCTGAATACATGCCCATGAGTTCCTGATCCCTGAGCACATATTATTCAGCAAACGCAAACTTACCTTGTCATTATTGTAATAGGAAATGCTGCCCCCGTCAAACTTTACCCAACGCTTCTGAAACATGTGCTTCCTGTGTGCAGAGAAAGAAAAAAGGTTCTTTGGAAAAATAAGCATGATGTTAGAAACATAAATAAGGTTGTGTTAGATGAGATGCCAAGAGAGACAGAAAATGATGGAGAAAAATTAAACTGGGGCAAGGGGGAGCCTCAAAGCAACCTGATGAAGGCTGGACACATTGGCAGAGGATACCAGTGGCTTGTTGGAGAAAAAAAATCAAAGCAATAAGGCTGGGGTGGGAGGTAGCAGAATGGAATGTCTATGAACAAAGGTTTAGTGAAAAGAAGTATTCCACACGGCAAGGTTTTGCTGCAGGGCTACAGCTGGCAAAATTCTAAAACAACCTCTCGTTACAACCCAGCTAGCTAGGATTCTATGGAACCTTGGACTGTCATTGCATCCAAACACAGCCAGGTCTGGTCACCAAACATCTGCATGTTACACAGCAAGTGTTCAGGAAGGTTACGCTCTTCTGTAACATACCCCTGAGGAGACAGCTTATCCAGCCATCCTTCCTTGACCTTCTTTGTTGCTGGCCCATAAAAGCAGGCATAGGGTGTTATGGAGTCTTCAGGGCTATTGGTCAGTTCATCAACATTGTCATACATCTGCTCTGTAGTACTAAAGTCCCGATTCCCACTTCTGAATCCACCAGTGCTTCTTGATGTTCTATATTTCCCTCTTCGTGCATACCGAGCACACTCCTTCACTGAGAAACTTTCAGCTTCACCAATGAATCTGTTTAACACAACAGATTTATCTTCTTGGGGCAGGGGTTCACTGTTTGCAACATCTTCAGAGACTTTCTGGTTTTGAATATTATTATGGGTCCTAGAAGAAGCAAACAGTCCATCAGTGTTGCTCTTCCACTATGGGCCATTGCAATTTACATTACTATTTAATTGCAAACTAAAGGCACATAACATAGCAACATTTCCAGTTCTTATGCCATAAAGAGATAAAGGCTGTATGATCAGCTGAAATCTGTTATACCCTTTCTTTTATATTTTGAAAACAGCAATTGTGCAAAACAGATTACAAAATGCTGCTAAATTCAAATAATTAAAAATCCACCCATGGTATTGCATAACAATCATCAAACAATCAAACATCAAGCAATCATCTACTAAATTGGCAGTACAGAGACTGGACAGTAAATCTAAATTAAGGCTCACTAATTATCATGCTTTTATTTCTTAAAGTAGTCTTCTCATTCTTGTGCCACCTCAGCCAAAACTGCACCACCCACCCACAATAGGAAGGTTTATCCTAGGGTTTGTAAATGTACTGGATTACAAGTAAGTTTTTAGGAGATATTTTAAATATGGTATTATTGTACTTTAGTGCAACTGTGCCTTTGGTTTAATTGAATTGTGGCTGTTGTGGGGTTTTATGGTGGGGTTTTCTTGTATTTTATAGCTGTTATTTTATTGCTGTAATATGTATGTTCAATTTAATATTATTCTTTATTGTATATGATGTTATATTTTGTAAGCCACCCAGAGAGTCTTCCCAGACAATGGGCGGAGTAGACAATATATTAATACATACATTTGAAGACAAAAGTTGAGTGTGGTGAACACCCCAAAAGACCTAGTAAGAATTCAGTGGCATGCAATATGTATTAAGTGGGGAGAAAACTGCTGAGCAAGTGAGGGAGGAAAAAGGAATGGCATCACTACAGAAGAACAAGGGAGACATGTATAGATATAAGAAGGGCATAAAGAAAATGCATGCATAAATAAATAAAAATGATCTCATTGTCTGGATAGCTTAGACTTGTGCCCCTCCAGATTTTTGGCCAATAACACGCACTAGCTCTGGCTAGCACAGAGAATGGTCAGGAATTACAGGAGGTATAGTCCAGGAAGGTTTGCAGGATGGAGAAGGCTGGGATAGATCACTCCCTATTTCACTCTTATTTCTAAATGTTTGCCGTGTCAGAAGAGAGGGCTGTCCATAGAAATCTATGAAGAAATGCACTGTTTAAATGCAGTTTGGATTGGGCACATGTGGGTACCCAACCCCCTGTCAAAAGAGAGAGGGAGAGGAGAAAGGGAGGGGAAGGCGGGAATTGGGGAAGGAGCCACAGAATTGGTGAATGGGGGCTGAGCATCTTAGGTGGGCAAAGCACTCTGATTGTCAGAGAAGAAGAAAAAACAGGTGGTGGCAGAGGGATGAAATGCCCCTGAATAATCTGCTGAACAGAAGTATTAATAGAAACAGAGCGTGATGCTTTTCCAACACCAAAGCACACAGGGAAGAGTAACCAATTGCTCTTCCATCACAAAAATGCTTGCTCCAATCCCGCTACTACCTATGGAAGAGAGCCTCATAAGGGTTGACGGGAACTCTTCTTCTGGGCCTAACAGAAGGTTTAGGGGGAGACAGTGATTTCAGAACTGTGGCAAAAGCAGGCAGAGTTAAAGCAGTATAGCAGTATGGTACCTCCCACTGCCCTCAACAAAAAAAGATAAAGGCTTAGTCCCCTTCACTGCCACCTGGCTAGAACAGACTGGACTGTTTAAGTCTGGGCTCAGAAGCCAGCCCAGATCTACAAACTCTGGGCTATAATGAGACACTGCCCATGGGTGATTCACTGGCCCACTCGGGTTTTCTGTACAGACACAGCCATGTTGCTTTATCCCAGATGCCCAGGCTTGGCACACCAGCGATTTAGTATCCTACCAATGTGTGTATGTTTCAGCTGGTGCAGAATGGGTCATTTTTATATCCACACAGGCCAGAGCTGGGACACTGGTGGCCCTGCACATGTTTTGGCCTACCTCTCCCATCAACCTTAGCCTACAGAGCCAATCATGAGGAATGAGGCCAACTATAGGCTAAAATATCTGAAGGGACACAAGTTGCCCACATGATTCTTCTTCAGATATTTCTAGAGTCTGAAAACTAGAAACAATTCTTCAATTTAAAACAAAAACCTGAAATCCTGATTTTTAACCAGACATTCCAATTCATGAAATTGAAAGTAAGAAACGAGTTTTAGCTATGTAAAGTTCGGAGTTTTAATCCAATACCGTATTTTTCTCACAAGGCTGCCTCCTTGAGTGCTTTTCTCTTCTCTGTTCTCTTCCAGGGAATCTGACAATGCTTTGCCACATACTTCCTGGAAAAAGAAAAGCCAAGAATGAGTATCATTTTCAGAGAGCTAGAAGGCTGTGACATCATTGCCACCCCTGCCCATCAGTCTCAACTTAGACACACGTGTGAAAAATGAGCTCTCTGATACTTGTGCCCTACAAAAACTAGACTGTCCACCTAATATCATTTAGACACTTTCTGTTCTATGAAGCATGAGCATTTAAACAGATTTCCTTACCTAAGTGCATCAAAAAGCTCAGCCTCCCCCCGCAACCTGATGCTCTCTGTATGTGTTGGCCATTCGCAATGCTGTCCAAGAATGAGGGGAGATGTAGTCCAAATCTGGAGGGCAGCAGGTTCAGTAAGGCTGAAAAAGTACTATACTGGCACACAGGTCAACACCCCCACTCAGTAAACCAGTCTGCAAATTTAAACCCGGCCTGAAGATATCCTACTCCCACATTTATATCTGAGAGAAACAAACAGGTTTACTCTCCTCCCAGCCTTGCTAGGGTTTTTATTGGCTTGTCTTTGTTTTTGAAGGCCTGGATTTCAAAAGATTTTAATCTGCCAGTTTGCAAGCCCAGTCTGAAAGTAGTACTGACCAGGAACAGTAGTACTGAACCCTTCTATTGCTTCTCTAAGTACCACCTGTTAGAACTGAAGTGCATAACAATGAGGGAAAGGGACTTCTCAGGTGTTACACCCAGAATGAGAGCTTCCCCCCCCCCCAATTTCCATTCTGCTTTCCTTTAAAACCCTTCTTATGAGCCTGGGCTTTTTCATTTCCTGAAGTTTGAAGTTTTAATATTTAAGTTTATTTAAGTGAGTAAGAGTTTCAAATGTACAAGGCACAAAAATGGAATTCAGTAGCAGCAGCGATATATCTATTTCTGGTGGCCCTTACCTATCCTATAAAAATAAGAAAATATTGTTAATATCAAATGGAAATACGGAAACAGAACTGGCTTCTGCCTGCTCTCAGATCAACTTACTGAAACTCACCATGACACATTTTTCCCTGTGTTCTATTTCACAATGTTTCCAGTTTCCCAAACAGTGAGCCGGCAGGCCGACAAGATACCATCCAGTGGGAGGGTCCTGGCCATCCACATAGATGTGATGGCCAAGTTAACTGAAGCTGCTGCAGTCTGGCTGGAAATGCCCATTTCATTTCACTGCAAGATTTATTTATTATCACACTGATATTCCACATTTTTCTTTCCACTTGTAAGGAACACAAGGTGGTTTCCCTCCTCCTCCTCCTCCTATCTATTTTTGTCCTCACAGCCACTCTGTGTCATAGATAAGGCTGACAGTCCATGACTGGCCCAAAACCATCTGCTGAGATTCATGGTCAAGTGGGAATTAGAACCCAAGCTCCTGAGTCCCAGTCAAAGATTCCAAGCATGGCACAACTACTGGCCCTCTGTCTCTCCAAAAATCCTTCCTAGGCTGGCTCAGAGAATTTGAAATGTGACATTCTGGCCATAAACATGGCTTTGCTGGTTCACTTCAATGTAAGTATCATCACTGGATACTTAACTTGCTGCCTTCAAGTGCTGTAAACAAGATGGCCTTCCTTGCATGAGACATTTACTAAGGCTTCTGCTTCAAACACCTTTCCCTTGAGGTTTTCTCCCTGGGGCTCCCGCTCTGCCTTTCCGTTTGTTCCATTACACACCACAAACTGACACTGTGGTCTCTGCAGCAAATGATAGCGGCATCCAGGAAAATACCAGAGTTGCCTTACCCTAAAAGAAAGCCACAAAAATAGCTAGAAATCATGGCAGAATTCTTGGAGGAGGAGGATGGCAGGGAAAGGACCCTCGAATCTCCATGAGTGAGGGGTCAAAAGCACACAATAAATTCCTCATGTAGAGAAGCCTCCCAATTTCAGCTGCAATCCACTTTGCCCTTTCCTGGAAACTCACTGAACACAGGAGGGCTTACGTCCAAGCAAAAATGGATAGGGCTGCACTGTGAGTATCTAGCTATCTATTCAATGCAAAGCACCCATTCAAGTGGGATTTAGGAATTACACCATACCTGGTGGCAAATACCTTGTGCATTTGCAAAAACAGTTTGCAACACAGCACAGGAGGAACAAGCCTTTCATGTAAGATTGCACTGGGCAAATCTTTCCTCAAGTAACCCAGCCTTAACTTGTAGATCAGCACATTTAAAAAGGCAGCCTCTGAAAGACAGGGATTTTATGTCACCTAAAACATTGTCCAAGGACAGTTCTTGGTTGAAATCACAGCCCAGCACCTAGAGCATCCAAGCTCATTTTTCAGCACAGATAAATGCCTTGAGTTCCAGCTGATTTGCCTTTCTCTCCTAATTCCCTTGTGTCTCATTAACACGTTTCTCCAAGCGTCCCTGCTATAAACTAAATCTGTTCTCCATGTCTTAGCCAATATTCTTATTCAGTCCTATATCCAACCACAAAGCAAATTAATGCCTCACGCAATAGACAGACATTATATATTGGGAGTGTGTGCGCACTATACATTGAAAATACATACACACTGCGTGTGTGTGGGTGTGTGAAGAGTCTCCAATACTCCCCAAAGAGACAGACAGTCTGTATGTTCTGCACAATCATTTTTGTTGCAATTTATCCTTCCTCTTGTTAATACTGCAAATAAAACTTGCACTATGATTATATAGGAATCTTGGTTTCAACTGAACTCAGCAAGAACATTTTTCTTACTACATGTTTAGGAAAACAGTAGACGGAGGGGTTTCATTTTAGTGGATTCTTTTTCAGCACTGTCCAGCAGAAAGAAGCAGCAATGAGTAGTCCTTGATCAGCCCATACCTGAGTGACAAGTTACTCAAACCTTTCAGTCAGCAGCCTCATGGGACCCAGGCGATTCTACTCAACTGGCAGTTCCAACATCATGCTCTGGCTATCCACATTAGAGCAAAGCCACCAGCTGCCTGCATTGCATTGCATTCTTCTTCTTCTTCCCCTGCCCTCATGGGTACAGTCATCTTGTACCCTTTGAACTTTTCTGTCAGCCTCTCAGTAATTCTGTGTGTGTGCGCGTGCACGCATGCACATGCATGGATATATGTGCAGAGAAACACCTGGCATTCCAGCTACTCTCAGAACTGTCAGCCACAGACTTGTGTGACAAGCAAAGCAAAGCAAAGCAAAAGCAAAAGCAAAAGCAAAAGCAAAAGCAAAAGCAAAAGCAAAGCAAAGCAAAGCAAAGCAAAGCAAAGCAAAGCAAAGCAAAGCAAAGCAAAGCAGAGGCTGCATCCTTGCAGAGAAAACCCAGTTAGGTCCTCAACAGCTGGGATCAGCAACAGCAACAGGCAAGCCTTAACTCCAGCTCCAGAGCTGGCCTGGCACGTTCCTCTACACTTTACTCCAGCTGTCCCAAATCTGCTGCCCGTAGAGGTTTTGGACTGCATCTCCCAGCACTCCTGACCATTGGCTAAGCTGTCTGGGGCTGATGGGAGTTGAAGTCCAAAGCTTCTTCAGTCATCAGGGTAGGGAAGGCTGCTTTTCCTCGTTAAAGTGAATGGGATATTTATGGGACAAAAGCACAAGGCAACACTGTTGCAGTAAGAGGTAAAAGGAAATTGGGTGGCCTAGCAGTGGTCCTGGGGAGCATCTTCGTGAGCAGAGAGCTAGCCGCGGCACTGCACCCTTGCCATGCACGAGGCTTCCCTTCCTTGTTCCCCACACCTCTGCCCTGCCCCACTAGCTTACTGGTGGACATTTCGCTAGTAAGCAACAACTCACCACATCTTCTGAGCAGCTGATAAGGAAGGTTTCCCCATATGGAGATATTGGAGGCGGCTTTTCTTCAGCAGGATCTCCTTGAAAGGTAAGGAAGGGTTACTTCAGGCATGCACATGTGTCATTCAGTTCCTCAAACGTGATCACTTGTAGTTCACTTGTATCTGGATGGACTGACCCAGATAGCAATACTCAATTTAAGCTGCCACAAAGTGAGATCAGCTCAATCAGTGGAGATGCGCGCACACGCACACACACACACAAGCATTTCATTTTCCAACCAAGAAATTAATGAACATGCAAGTATACAAAGCTGTTCTGAGCAGTGATATATACCATTTGCAACCATAATTAAAACTACAGTAAACATACCACTAACACCTATTCAAACAAATGGGGTCCCAAATAACACATCAAAATTTAGCATTTGCATTCCCCCCTTTTTGACTTTTCCACAATTTGCTGTGCTACACGCTATAACTGAAATGGATTGAACTAACCTTGTTACCATTTGATGGTTACAAGCAACTCAGCTCTGTGAAGGTGCAAAACATTTTTACTGGGGCAGAAAAACTGAGAACGCAAAAACAGACTTGCAATTTGCATAAGTATTCACCCCTTTGCTGTGACAAGCCTAAATAAGCTCTGGTGCCTCTCACAGTCACACACCACAAATAGCTGAATGGAGTCTACCTGTGTGCAGTTCCAGTGCCACATGATTAGGTTAAATAGCTTGTTCCTGGAAAGCCCCAGAGTATCTTGGAGAACATATCTAAACAAACAGCTCCCTGAAGACCAAGGAGTTATCTGGAATAAAACTTTGCAGAAGCAGCAATCAGGGTATAAGAAAACCTCATGCTATGAATATCCACGGGAGGAGTGTTAAATCCATTATTACAAAATGGAAAGAATATGGCTTAGCCATGACTCTGCCTAGAGAAGGTTATTAGTCAGAGAAGCAAACAAGAAGCCAGTTGTAACTCTGAAGGAACTGGAGAGAAATGAAAGAAACTGTCCATGGAAGAATGGCAAAAAAAAGCCATTGACTCAGACAAGCCTATGTCAAAGCTCATTTAGAGTTTGCAAATAGACATGTAGGACCCACAGCAAATATATGAAGAAAGTTACTCTAACCTGATGAGACTAAATGTGAGCTTTTTGGCTGAAAGTTGCTGCAAAACCTACTGTATAGCATAAAGCCAGGAGTGCCCATTTCTCTCAACACTCTCTCCCCATTATGAAGCATGCTGGTGGCAGCTTCATGTTGTAAGGATGCTTTTCTTCAGCAGAGACTTAGAAAGTGGCCAGGACAGAGGGCATGATGCATGGTGCCAAAGACAGGGCAGTTCTGGGGGAAGACCTGTTTCAGTCTGCAAGGAACCTGAGACTATAGCAGAGGCTAATCTTCTATTAAGATAATGACTCTGAACACACAACCAGAGTAACACTGGAGTGGTTTCAGAACAAGAGCCTGGATGCATTAGAATGGCCCAGTCAAAGCCCAGACTTCAGTCTGACTGTGGCCAGACCTGAAGGGTGTTGTTACAGTCCGCATCTACTCTTTCAGAGCTTAAGCCCTTTTGCCTGGAGGAATAAGCCATCATTGCAGGATTAAGATGTGCAAAGTTGATAGAGCAAGACATGCAATTGCTACCAGCAGCGCTTTAACCAAATAGTGACCCAGAGAGGAGAACCATAACAATATTATGCACCTTCACAGAGCTGAGCATCCTGAACAAGTGTTATCAAGTGGTAACAATGCCAGTCCAATTCATTTCCAGGATGTAACACAACCTGTAAATCTGGAAAAATCAAGGGGAACAGAATGCTTCTGCAAGACACTGTAGTTATGCTGTGTGCATGTGCGCACATGCACATTAAAGAAAAATTATGGCCACCAATACTAATCCCATTGCCTTGGCATTCATTTCAATGGAACGTACTTCTAAGCAAGCCTCAGGGTTGCAGCCTAACTTAATTAGAACCTTTGCAAAGGTTCATACTTAAACACTATGCTTCCATTTTCTCGGATTACTACTGTCTGCGCTGTTCAGTTTCTTTTACTAGATTCTAGAATGGAATGGACAACTCTGACTTTGTACCTTGAAAAGAAGGAAAATGCATCAAGGAACTGTTTCTGCAGCTGGCAGAAGTAGACTTGCCCACAGAAAGCAGATTCAGGATTTGACCCACAGTTCAGGATGGGAGGGCCATTGCTAGCATAGGTAAAATGGCACCATGTGAGCAAAAAGGAAAGAATCGGTTGTCTTGGGGGACTCCCAAGAGAATCTGAATAGAAAACTAGATGGGAGAGAGAATGGAATCAAATATTATCAAGAAGGCATGGTTGGCCAACAGGAATACTGTGCAAGATCACTCCAGGTTACGCATGCATTTCCCTCTTTGACTACATGGTGTAGGAGAGAGTAACACCACCTGAAGAGGCACTTAATTTGAGGACAGAATTTCCCCCTACTCTGAACTTTGCAGTCACCATCATCTCAGGCTGCAATTCTAAACTTCCCACCTGAGATTAAGCCTCACTGAACTCCCAAGCAGATATGCACAGAATTGCACTGATAAACCAGGAGCAGAATACAGGCATGCGTGCATCCAATCAACACTGGTTCAAAATGTAAGAAGAGATGAAAAAGATTGTCCAAGTCACTGTCTGATAAGTACTGTAATCCTTAAAGGCAGCCTGAGAATTTTTTTGAAAAACTTAAAACTCTGCAGAGGGCTAGAAAACAGTGTATGTTTTCTGTAACAAAACAGAGAAAAGCAATGGTTCTCTGCAGAGGTAATTACATTCTACATGTCTTGCAACACAAACTCATTCATCTTTCTAGGGTTCTTGCAACCCCTAGACAATACACTGGGGGTCAAATCTGGCATGACTCAGTTCCAGTCTAGACTTCCAAGGTATTCAAGATGCTCACCTACCCACTTCCCCAGCCACTAATGATCAAATGGTTTCCCACCTTTCTTCCAGTCTTTCCCCTATTCTAAAATGAGCTAGTGTGGTGTAATGGTCAGATTATTGGACTAAGACTCAGGAGATCCAGATTCTAGGCCCTGTCCTGCCATGAAGCTCCCTGAGTGATTTGGGCCGGGCACTGACTCTCAGCCTAACCCACAACACAGAGTCATTGAGAAGATACAACAGTGGGTAGGAGGACCACCTAAGCTGCCTTGGGTTCCTTGCAAGAGGAAACAAATAGGGATTTAAATGCAATTTTAAAAATAAATTAATAGGCTGAAATGCCTGTGCAATGGCTTACTTATTGGCATTAAGCACTTGAAGTTATAGTCTAAGTATTTTTTTGATTCTTTGGTTCACCCACTTCCCCTGCTCTCTTTGCCTTCGGCTTCCCCCACCACTGCAATACAGCTCCCATGAGCCTCTTCCAAGTGTAATTCAGCCCCTGGTTGAAAGAGGTCCTGCATCTCTGGTGCACAGTACAGCAACCGCTGGGCATCTTGTCAGTGCAAGGCACTGCCAGTCTGTCCACTTGCAAAACAGCAGGTTGGCACACACTGAAAATGCATTGCAAAACAGAGGCAGCTTTTATATATGGTCAGTGATTATGCACAGTTCTATGGCCAAACTAGTGGCACACACGCTTCAGAGTGATTTCCCCCCTTCAGTTCTTACAGATTTTCTCTGAGCTATCTAATGCATCTGCCCTCACCTGCTGCGAAAAGTATAATTCACCAGGAGAAAGTACATGCTTGTTCATGGATCAGTGTATAAAACTGTCTGCCATGATGGGGAAATCTACAGGACCATGCTGTGAAAGTAGTAGGGGTTACAGGATATGTGAAAGCCACAATATAGCAGACCCTTTAATGAGCTTATAAACTCTAACCCACATTTTCAAAGTGTCCACTTGTAACTGCATCACTGAACAGAAAACAGATTTTCAGTGATACTGTATCTTGCCCCTTCTGACTTAGGTTTTCAAGGAAAATCCTTCAGTCCTTAAAATATTGGAGGGCCTGTAACTATTTTCAATATGGAGTTTCATTAGAAGTTTTCCTTTTATTTCTAATCTTGACAGCCTGTCGATTGATACTCATTATTCCTTGAAGAGTACTCGAAAAAAGTTGCTAGCCGTTATTTTTCAGGACAAAATGCTTTGAAATTGAAACAAAGAATCAAAAGGGGGACCAAAAATAATAATAAAAAACCCACAGCCTTCAAGCAGTCTCAGCATTTCCAAGGTGCAAAGATGTGGAGGAGGGAAACTGTTTCATGATTTTTAAATGCCTGAAGCCGACAGCAGGGCTATTTTGCAGAGCACAAAATGTGCCCAAACATGTGCAGTTATGTCTTAAGTGGGAGCAAACAGAAGTTCACTCCAAGTGGTTAAACAACTGTTTATCACTCTCCACAGAAATTGGTTGAAAACTCTTTTTAATCCTCTTTTCTCAGATAGTCTGTCAGTTATTATAGAACCTAAGAACAATATTATGAGTTACGCACATTTAAGGGAGATTCAGACTTTTTCCCCAGCCCAAGCTCTACAGCAAACCATGTTTGAAACCAAGCAGAGCAAGGGTACAGCACTTCTGGCCTGAGGACCAAATCCAGCCCCTCAGATCGGGGGGCGGGGGGGAGCTGACATCCATCATTCACTGCATTTTGCTGAACTTTTTTTTAACTTTTAAATGGCACATGACCATTAACTTTTAAATGGCTTTAAAAATAGCACATGGCCATTATATCATTGCTGCTTATGATGGAAATTCGTCAGTTTTAATTTTGTATTTGTACAGCTAGTTTTCAAGTTGCTTTAAGCACTTTACAGAAAGGCAATAGACAGATATAGCCAAGAGCATAAGGGTTACGTGTGTGCATGTAGATTGGAAAGAATATGAGCAAGACAAAAGGGAAAAACTGGTAAAGAATTTCCCACTTTGGCAGGGATCTGGACTGGATGGTTTTTGACATTCCTTCCAATTCTATGAAGTTTTGAAGCTCCTTCTCATCACTCATAAATGCACACCAGCCTATATATGTCCAGGTTGTTCATAAATGTTCCCCAATGGAATAGAAGACAAAACATATATTAAAATGTACCTGGCAATTTCTGCTTTCATTTTAAATTCAGAGTAGGTACAGAGGGCTGCTTCAGACTGGGACCTCGTGTGGGAATCAGGGGGCTTTAACCCTCCTCCCCATCCATTCGGGACCCAACATGAAATGGGAGGGGGGGGAGGTTCATGTCTGCAATAATGATTGTGCAACAAATGGCATACTGTTTTGCAATAGAAACTGCAGCTGTGGCTGGATTGGAAGCCCTGCAATCTGGACTGGAGGCCCTACACATCCACTGGTGTCATAATCAAAGTAAGACACAGCCACGAGGTGTATCTTTGAAGAAATCTCCTCTCTCGCCCCAAGATACACTCTATACAGAGCCTAATTGGATGTGGCAGAGCTTTGAACCCAGGTTTCAGAATGCCAGTCATGCACAAGTACAAAGCACAGAGTGCGAAATGACTGAAAGTGAAATACTGGGTGGGATGTTATTGAGCTTTTCCTCTACCTTGTGTGTACCCACCTGCTTTCTATATGAATTTGTCATGTATTGCCCACTTTCCATCTTGTCTGCATAGATGGATTCTGCTCAGAGCCTTAGCTATGCCACCCACTTAACTAGCAATCATTTCTCAAAGAAAGCAATGCTTAAAGGCTGCTGTGGAGTTCAAATCGACCTTGTACAGGAAAAGTACATTGAAAGCAGCCTTGAAGTGTGAAAGTAACACCCAATAATGCACAAGCTATTCATACATGGTTCCACAGGTTTCCTACCACAGCAAAAACTTTGTACATCTTCTTTACAAGAAAATGCATCCCAATAGTATTTCCCAGGAGAAATGTATGAGCTGCACTCTCTACAGCACCTTTGAAGGAATTGCCAGTCCTATTTCTCCATTACAACTCAAGCAGCTTTGTGCTTTCAGCTGGAAATTGATATAAAACAAAACTAACGCCTTTTTTGTTTTCCAAACAAGGGCATTATAAATCAAGAAACACAAAATCTTTTATTTATTATTATGACCTTCCTGATATTCTCATCACTCTATATTTCTGCAATAAAAAATTCAGTATCAGTTTTGTTTTCTTTCTTACACTTTCTGATAACTCTATATAATTTGCAATTAGTCACAAAGTTAAACTTACGCCTTTGTGTAATATGACTCTCTGTACAAGAGATATTTAAGTTATTCATGTTTCTTCTTACTTGCAGAGAGCTGTAAAGATAGCAAAAAGGAAGAAAAAATATTAGCGAGAATATCCATTTATCTATTACATTAGAAACATGAGACTTGTGCTTAGAGACTTATGCCGTCTCAGTGAAACAACTTTTAAAAGCTGGTTTGTTCACTAGAGTAACACTATATTCTACTTTCCATTTCTATTACAATTAATATTTTGATCCAAATATCCCAGTTAACTCTTTCAAGGTTCTAACATGAAGTAAGTACAGAACTGGTTAAACAAACAGAAATGCAACAAGTATCTGTGATTTTGTTTTAATTTCCAAAGTGAACAAGCAGCAGATTTGCACCTATTGATAAGTATTCTGAACAAAGCCACACTTGGCTAAACAGATCCATGTTAAAAGTAGTTATTTGTTGCACAATTAAGCTAACAACACAGAACAAGGACCTACATCCAGCAATCCAATTTTGTGGAACAACCTAGGAACATGCGCAACGGCAAGCTGATCAGCACTTTGACAGGGACATCAGTCTGCTCAGCACCAAACATAATAGCAACTGAACAGGGAACAGTGCACTGTTATTTGCAGATGTGCACTCATCATCTGGAAAATCCTATCTTAGCAAAAATCATTTCTCTTTCCCGGTAAGTGACCAATTTTCAGTTCAAAGGAAACATGTTCTGAAATAATGGTAAGTGCATTATATACCTTCAGCAATAATGCATTAAAGATAGAGGTAGAGAGACACCATAAGCTAGAATTGCTGAGAATTCTGGGTTATACTGAATAAACAAGGATTCAAGAGTTGTTCTTGGCTTGTGACACTGACTTATCAAGAGGTAATGGAACATCGACCGAAGTTGCCCGGCTATGATTGCAACCTTGCAAGTAAGCTAAAGTTGTCCTTTTGGGGATTCCGTAGCAGCTATGGGGGAGGAAGGGAGGAATTCCAGGAAGCAAATGTTGGCGGAGAGGTTTTGCCTCCCTCTCCCAGTGTGCAATGGTGCTGATTTGGACCACAGTGGTGTGGCTTACACTACAACAAAAGGGTAACCTTGAGCTGCATGCTATGTAATTAACATAAAGTGTAGTTTAGCTCTAAAGTTTTAAGCTAGCTTCCAAAAGATGCAAAAATCAAAGACCTGTTTTTGTGTGGAAAAACAGTATGCATGAACATGTTTATAACCCCAGAATAGCCGCAACATTATTTATTTATTTATACTTTCATTTCTGTGCCGCCTACTCGGAGCAAGCATGTCCACCCTTGCTGTCCCACTTTGGAAAAGACAAAGCCATGATCTTATACCCATTCTCTTGCAGAGGTTCATTTCAGTCATTTGGCTACGTTCTACCTGTCATGCTAAAAATCCTCCCACACTTGCAAGAGAAAAGGTACCCTTCTCTTTTAAAAAGCAGGCCAGACATTTTCAATAGCCCAAGCACAAAATCATGTGCTGCTTAATCTTCTGGAGGTCCATTGATGCACTGAAACATACCCAACAGCTTGTGTGTGGTCATATCTATCAGCCGTGTGGTCACTGAGGTGGGACTGACTTGAACACACATGCTCTGTAGAAAACACATCCTGGAAACTAAAAGGGAAGCCTGTTTCCAAACCTCAGTCACCACACATCGGCCTGAAGGTAGATATAATGTGATGGTTGCAGCCTGCTTATCAGAATACCTAGAACATAGGACCTCGTAACTCTCCAGTCCAGCCACTCTTCAGTACAGCCATTTTAGGATGGAGCCCCAGGGAAAGAGTAAGGACAAGAGGACTTGAGGAAGGACTTGAGCAAGAAGCATTGTTCAGTAGTGCTCCACTTTAGAGGTGTATTTTCAGCCCAAGGGCTGGATTCCTTTTCTGAGACATTGCCAGGGGGCACATTCCAATAGTGGGCATGGCAGAAGATAAAAGGAGCAAGGGCAGAGGAAATGTGAGCAAAGTACTGAAAAAAATCTGCATATTTTAGCTTAAGATGTTTTAGATTAAGACCCTAACCTTTTAAAATAGAGATGACACTGCACAAAAGCCAGGAAGCCACCAAAAGGTGGGTGATTGGGAGAAGGAGGCATGGTTTACTGGAGAACCCTAAAGAGTCAAATTTGGCCTCTGGGACTGAGGTTCTGCACCCCTGCATCTATGCAAAGAGCCCAGATGCAATTCTCCAGAACCACCAGGTGGGCCTAGAAAAGACCTATTTCAAACTCTGAAAAGCTGGAGAAAAGTCAATGTCCTAGGTCTGTAACGTGGCAGGAAGAATAGAACAAAAGATGCTATGAGACCATACACGGCACCTAATGCAATATTATGCACTATGCATCTGTCTGAAGGAGGAGAAAACTGCTGACAGAGTCATTCCACAAATCAGTGCATAGCCATGGTTGCATCCTCTCTGTCATGGGTCCTCAAACTATGGCCCGGGGGCTGGATTCAGCCCCCCATGGCCATTTATCCAACCCGCCTCAGAGGTTTTCAACATGCCCACGCGCCATGCACGGGGAGGTTGCGAATTGCTCGCGAGGGGATCATTTTGGACTCACTCAGAGAAAACAATCTCCAAGCGAGCAAGCCGCTGCATCACGCGCCCGCCGCTGCATCGTGGAACATGCCCGCCTCCCCTTGCCGCGTATGCGCCTCACCACGCATGCCGCCCCGCCCCCTGCTTCAGCGCCCACAGGCCCACAGGCCCTGCTCCCAAGCCGGCCCACACGCCCCACAGGCACCTTTCAACTGGCCCCCTGGTGAAAACATTTGAGGATCCCTGCTCTACATGCTCTCTCCCAGCTGCAATTTTGACTCATCCCCCCTCAAAATGTAGAAAACACAAGAGGCTGTGTAACTTGTTTGTACCACCGCTTCCACTGAAAGTATAAGTGACTGTTTCAAGAAAAGTGATTTTTTTTTTTAATGCCTCACTGGCCAGTGCCCCCACCCACACTCCTAATCCTGGAAGTAGCTGAACTCCATCTGACCACTCAACACGGGCCCAACCAAAACTCCATCTCCATTGTGGCAGATTGTTCAGGATCCCAAGCTCCCTCATTATGCTTCAGAAGCAAAATAACAGTGAAAAACACAGACTTCTACAACATGAAGCGAGGCAGGCTGTTTAAAGGGGGCAGAGGATGTCTAAGAAAGCTACTTGTTTAAGAAAGACATTCATTAAAAACTTCTGAACTGTTCTCATTCCACTTGAATGGCACCACAGAGTGTGCTCCCAGCTGCTTTCACCAATCAGGTCTTTAAAAATGAAGTCTGAGATGTAAGGAAAAGGGCAAATCTGGTACAATGCTACCTTGGCTCACAAACTTAATCCATTCCAGGACTCTGGTTGTGACCCAAATTGGTCATGAGCCAAGTTAAATTTCCCCATAAGGTTAATTGTAAATAAGGTTAATCCGTTCTGTAATCATTTTTTTTTAAATCAGAAAAATGTGAAGCAAAGTGACAAACAACAACAACGATCGTGGTCATCTCCCCCTCCCCACCCTGAGCTCAAGTGCAGCCATCTTCCCGCTCCCCAGCACGACTGAGATTGCGCCCGTCATCCCTGCATGTTCCTGTCATCCTGGCGTGCTGGGGGGTAGGGAGACACGGGCGCAATCACAGGCGCATTGGGTGAGGAAGAGATGGGCGCGATCTTGGCCATCTCCCCACTCGGGTGGGGCGGGGAGATGGCCGTGATCATCCCGGTTGGTGGGCGGACATGTTCAAGATTGTGCCCATCTTTCCTGCAGAAGCGCGCTCGTGATCACACATGTCTTCCCTGCACGAACGCAACTGCGATCACGGCCATCTCTCCACTTGGGGGCGGGGGTGGAGATGGCTGCGATCTTGGTCGCCACCCAATGCGGAGTTCGTGACCCACATCAAAATTTTCATGAAATTTTTGTTCGGGACCCGATTTGGTCGTGAACCAAGGCGTTTGTGAGCCGAGGCACCACTGTACTTGCTTACTGACAGCAATGTTCACAGCCTGTGTACTGCTACAGTTCAGTACAGATGTGTATCAACTGCTGATCTATTTCCCTTCTCTGTTTCTAGTAAGGTCCCTAACACTAAATTGATAAACTAAAGCAAAACACATTTTGTTGCCGCAAAAACTGAAACAGTATTTCTTTTTCACATAGCACAAGTATCATTTGGATGTTGCCTCAATTGATTAGGTTTGTTGTATGAGCAAACTGTGACTCATTGCTTTTATTAAAATTTCCTTCCCACCACCCCACCAGGAAGAAGGGTATTTTTCATCCAATCTTGTTAGAAAACAAAGTGCTTTAAGAACAGCAATAAACTATTCATCTTTTGTAGCACAACCTAATAAAACATGACAATCTTTTGAAATCATTAGGACTTACTATCAATCTGCTCATTTCAAAATGTTCCATTAAGAATCCTTGCAGACTTTAAAGCAAGAACTAGACTGATACAGAAAGGACCTCTTTCTAAAATGACCTCAGATGCCCACAGTTCTAATTTAGGATGAGCATCAGGAAGACATCCATAATTGTTTTGTCACAATGAGAATTAGTCTGGTGTCTATTCAAAAATCAGAATGCTCTGAAGAAATGAGCTCCAAGTCTCCTTTTCCACCCTGCCCTATAATACGCAATGTATCACCCCCACCACTACCACACTGCATTTGATACCCTTGGCTCCTGGGGAAAGATGAGAAAAGTTTTCCTAGGTGTTACTGGAGAGTGTGGGGAGTGAGTCAAAGCTCGTGTTTGCTGTAATGTCTAGTTCAATCCTACTGCAATAACTCGAAATGGATTTATGACCTGTATCCTTCTAAGCCAATGAGAGCCAGCACAACACCTACACCGAGAGGTGACTAGAACTTTGGGAGTTGCTCCTTCACAGAACTTTCAGTTGATGGTACATTTTATCATGCCACTTTTTATTCAGGCCGGAAAAGAGCTTCATTTATTATGGACTACTTTTTATTATTTTGGACTAGAATATCAGCAATAAGTTTGCTTCCCACATGGTCGATTTTTATATTAACAGTAGATTTGAGTCAT